CCTGGGCTGACAGTGAGGATTGCTACAAGTTCAAGGCCAGCCTGGGCTGACAGTGAGGACTGCCACAAGTTCAAGGCCAGCCTGGGCTGAGAGTGAGTCCCAGGCTAGCCTATGCCACAGAATTAAGATCCTGTCTCAAACAAAGCAAAACGAAAGAACAACCTTCAGCTCAATGGCACATACTTAAAATTCGCACACAGAAGGCTGAGCCAGGAGAATAGAAAGTTCATGGCCAGCCTGGGCTATGTATCAAGACCTGTCTCGCCCCCCACAAGGAAATAAAAAAAAAAAAAAACCCACAAAACAAAAACCACTTCCCAGTCCCCTTTCACATGTATGTAAAGTATGTGTGTAAAGAAAAAAGAGACGTATTCATTTTCATTAATGAATGCAGTTTCACCAAAATAAAGTGAAATTGTCCCCAAACTTCTCTGCAGTAGACCACACTTCCCCTAGGACACCAGGACTCTCCCAAGAAGAACTCTCAACAGTCAGAATCACACACACAGCCACTTTGTCTTCACCCATTCCAACCTGTACACACCAGGTGACATGAACCAGAGGGTATCTGAACAAAACACTAAGAAAATGAGGCCAAAGTTAATTTTCAGTAAATATATCAAAGTCCACAATTAATAAATTAAGGACTAAATCAGAAAGAGCAGAAATGAAAAAATACAGAGCTCCTCCTTCCTCGCCCCAGTGCCGCATCAGAGGGGTGAGCAATACACAACTTGGCCTTGAAGGTTTCTAGATTATGGCAATGGCCTTTGCTTGTTTCCTATCTTTTCATTCCCTTTCCTACCCTCCCCCTACCTTAGTTTTGGAGACAGATTCTACATAACCCAGGTTGGCTTTTAACTCCTGATCCTCCTGCCTCAACCTCCTGAGCAACACCTTGCTTGGCTTCCCCTCTGGTCACACATGACTCAGTGGCATCTGGTCAGGACCACAGGTACGTTGGTGATAGCTCTCTTGGATGGTATTGATGGTTGAAGAGCAATCAAGAAGCAAAATAGACAGGAAGGATGGGAGCAGTGGCATGAAGCCTGGAGGCTACATCTTGCCTCATCAGAGGGAACACAGGGACTCTAATTCTGTCCCCACATCCTCCTTCCAACAGAACCAGCCATATCAGAAGGCTATGAATTCCTTATCACTGAAGGATTCCAACACTACAAAGGCTCTTTCAGCTGTATGTGGTAGACCTGTAATCTTTTTTTTTTTTTAAGACTGCAACAGATGCCTTTATTAAGAAAAAAACTACAATCTGACACCAACTCAAAATGCAACCAAATTTTCTTGCTCTTAAATTTTTTATTCACCTTATGAAGGTCAATATTTTAACCAGTTGCTTAACACTTCTTTCATATTTTCATCTTGATTTTACTTTTAAAATCTTTAAGCTAATTCTAACTTTATATTCCAAACTGAAATCACTTTCTCTTTCAAAAAGTTTTCCAGGGACTGGAGAGATGACTCAGCGGTTAAGAGCACAGACAGCTCTTGCAGAGGACCGGGGTTCAATTCCCAGCACACACATGGCGGCTAATAACTGTCCATAACTCCAGGAGTTCCAGGGGAATCCAGTGCCTTCTGACCTCTACAGGAACTGCAAGACACAGGTGCACTTACACACATGCAGGCAATAGACAAATACACATAAAATAAAAATAATAAAATATTAAAAAATTTTTTCCAATGTAGCAGTTTTAATAACATGTATTTCATTATAAGTAGACTGAAGTCACTAAATGAAATAAAATGTCAAAAGGCTGTACTAAAATGGTTTGTAAAAATTCCTACAACAAAGCATTTCTTTTTTTTAATTTATTTTTTATTTTTTAGAAGAAGCATTCATTACAGCTTTACCATACTCAATAACAATTTCCAGAGCAAAGATACATCTCCTTCAAAAGTGGCTATAAAATTTTTAGGTTCCCAGTTATGCAATATTGAATTCACTATACACTCTGTAAGACATAAAATTGAGTTTTTAACCTTTAAAAAAGATCTCCATTTCATTTTAAAATCTACTGTTTCTTACAGAAATACTCATTGTTTTTGCTAATAACACTTAGATGTTGGCGCATGCATCTCTAATCTGTATGTAACTAATTATTACTAGTCCTGGTTGGTTGCACTCGGATCTTTGGCACCTGTGTATGGATATAAAGTCATTGGGTAGATTTCAATGGTAATGTTTATCACCTCTACTACTTCATATGACATACATTTTTATGCTTCCTCCTCAATTATAACTTTTTTAATTTGTTGATTTTTTTGTGTGTATATCACAGAGAACATCTCAAACAATCTTATTCGTCTGTATACCCACTTCCCAGATGGCACCTCCCATAGCCCCCCCCACTAGAGCCCTTTTACTCTGTCATCCCTGCTACTGTCTGCTGTGGTGTCGGCACCCCAGCCGTTCCCTAGTACTTGTCCACCCAGTGAATCTAGTCAGCCTATCTACAGGTCTTTGTTTTAGGAAGGTCAGCTGTTCTTCATCTAGCAGCAATCAGTTGTCAATATTCCTTTAGATAAGATTGGGATCTGCTGTTCATTTTCCCAGTTTTATGCTGGATTACTATCTGGGAGTCTCTTGGGCCACGCTGGCCAACAACTCAAGAGAACGGTATTGTTCTCTTGTTATGTAGCCTTTAGCTATACATATGGACTCTAAAAAATTTATATTGGCCCTTTAATCTTTGGTTATACTTTCTTTTTTGGGTGTTTAAGCCCATACAGTTGGCCCAGATAAACCAATTTATTTTTACTCTTAAGGCCGTTTGAGGATCTGTTCCTCATGGGTCACGTGGCCTTGGGAGATGCCCCTGGCTCCTTCTTTTTACCAGTTCCGTCTATGTGAAGATAAGTCAAAGGTCCTGCTTGACCATGGTTGGCTTCGCTTGGAAGCATGGAGGAAATGATTCCTCTTTGTTGACCCTCCTCTTTGTAGATTGGACACTGGTTCAAGTCCACCTTGTGGGGTCTCCACAGCCTCCTTGATCAAGAGGACAGGTGACTCACCACAGTTACAGGACATTTTGAGAGATGCTCATAGTCCCCTGGAATTAGTTGACCTAGGAGAGCAAGGAGGTAGACCTGTAATCTTAGCACTCAGAAGACTTGGGCAGGAGAACTACCACAAATTCAAGGCCAGCCTGGGCTACAAGGCAAGACCCTGTCTCAAAAGAAAAAAAGACCAAAAAAGGCAAAAGAAAATACAAAGCTCTCCAGTCTCAGCACACTTTGGTTTGGTCTATGAGTATTCACTCAGACTCATTCACTGAGCATCTAACGAGTACTGGGACTAGGGTGCCCTCCAAGGCCCAATCTTCTCCTGGGTGGATGCAGACAACAGACTCAGAAATAAGCACATGAGTAAGATTGTTACAGGTAAACTCCCAGAGCAAAATACAATAAGAAAACATGACTAAATTGCTTTGGACAGTGCTCAGGGAAACTCTCCAAACATGGCATAGCTGAATGGCTAGAAAGGGGGAGACATGGGAAGCAGGAGAAGGCTGTGCTCATGAGGGAACAGCCGGTACAAGGGCCCTGGGAAGTCTCCTGACACCCCAAATTCAGAGTTCCATCAGCTGCATCCCCCACACCCACCTGCTGTCCTCTTTCCCCAGCTGATCTTAGTCAGGTTTTCTCATGCTCAGGAAGGCATGAATTTTCTATCTGAAGGTGTGCTCTGAGCAAAGACACAAAGCAACACACATGCACCACCTCCACTCCCTCACCCACAGGGGTGAGGACTGGCCACTACCCGCTAGCAGTTCTGTCCATTTTGGTGGCACACAGGCCTTTTGAAGAGTATGTGTTGATTTCAGGAGGCTTCTAGGGAGCCAGGTTCAGCACTCCTGTTTATGAAGTTCAGGAAGAAAATAACTATAGAGGTGCAGCCCAGGAGGACACCACTGATACAATGGGACATCTGCTCACATGACAGAATGGTTGCGAGGGAGACTACAGCAAACCCCTAAGCCCTTAAATAGACAAGGCTCAGAGACTAGAGGATGTCAGCTGGCCAGGGGCCCAAGGCTTGAAGGAATTCAAGTGAATGAAACCTCATCCACTCTGACCCCTCAAAGGGAATCACCCAGAGCTTCCCAGCTGTACCCTAGATGAAGATCACATCTGACCCACCTTCTCAGATACACTCTGCATGAGGCTGGCTAACCTCAGGAGGCAAGCTTACAAACCCAAGGTTTCCAGTCTGAAAAGGGCACTGTGCTACTGGGGAGATAAAGTCTGGTCCTAGTAGGAGACAGAAGGCATATCAACTTGCATGCCACCTCACTGGGAAGCTGGAGGTGTGAACACAATTGCTTGGATGGTGGCCATATGTGTGAGAGAGAGAGAGAGAGAGAGAGAGAGAGAGAGAGAGAGAGAGATGTTGTGCCAGTCACTATTGAGGGCACTTTAACCTTATGAAACTTTTAAAGTTTTTGTACATTCCCATTTTACAGATGATGAAAAAGCAGCATAGACGTGCAAAGTTATTGTGACGCCGCAGCTAAGACAACCACAGCAACGTTCTTTTCCACACTCCGAAAGTGGTTACACCTGCATAGTGCACGAAACACATCAAAATAAGCTTTCTCCAGTGCATCCCGCACAAATGCTATTTGGCAGTTCTCACATCCTTGCCGGGCTCTGGAAGCAAGCCTGGTCCAGGCAATAAACTGAGCAAGCCAAGTCGTCCAGAACAAGTCACTCTGTTCCCGCAACATTCCAGCCAGGATGAGACGGCTGCTAGCCCCAGGGCCGCCCTCCGCCATCCAAAGCCCTAGGGAACCCGTTTCCACACAGCTCCATCCATTTCCACCCTAAGAAAACGCTCCCTCTCTCTCCACAGTTCACCTCGAGCCCTGGGTGTGCGCCACCCTGGCCTCTCAGGATCTGCGCTGCGCAGCAGGACCCCGACCGGCGGAGGTGGTGGAGCTCCCCGCAGCCGAGTGACCAGCGCCCCACGCGACACTGACCTGGAGAAGCAAGTCCAGGGAAAGGGCGCGCCCGGCCCGGACAGGTGGCGCCTCCCTCCCCGGAAGTGGCTCCCAGCACTTTCGCCCAGGAGCTGCCCGGGGACCGAAGTTAGGGTCCCCAGCTGGAAGAGGAGGCTGGTGGGGATAGCGGTGGCACTGCCCACCCAGTGCGCCCCGGGGTGGCCGTGGAGCCCAGCTCCGGCACGGTGTCGTGGGCAGCAGGGCTCCGGGGGTCGCTCCGGGAGGGTCCCTGCCGGGTGTTCTTACCTCCGCGCCCCACTGGCGCGCCTAGCCCGGCTACCAGCGCTCCCTCGGCCGGGCGCTGGCTCCCGGCCCGCTCCCCGGGGCGGGGCGGCAGTGGGAGGCCCCGAGGGCCACGTGGGCGGGAGGCGGGCCCGGGACCCCCGCAGGCGCCAGAGCTGGCGGAACTCCACCGCGGCTCTGCACCCTCCCAGCCCTCGTATACGCCCTGTCCTGGTGTCCCGAGAAGCTGAGACCCGACCAGGAGGACACATTGAGACATACCCTAAGTGGAGTTAACTGAGGCGGAGGAGGAGTGTGCAGCCCACCTCTGGCTTCCACTCTCTGGACTCAGCTCCAGGACTTCATTCAAGCCGGAAGGGGGAATGGTGATGCTCCGCAGGGTTTACTTACCCTGAAGGGCCAGGACCTGAGCCTGCGCATGGAGCATCCACCCCCGCCGCTGGGTTTAATCTTGGGCATGCCAGACCTTGCCCATCTCACCCTTTCTTTCACTGGAGTTGAAAATGAAGATAGTGTTGGCCCAGGAAGGGTGTGTTGGTGGGTGCTGAGCCTGGAGGAGCAGGGACAGCAGTGGCCTGGGTCACCCATGCAGAAATAAACATAGGAGTCTAAGTAAGATTATTATCCGAATGTATTCATTTATCCTTAGGATTTCATATAATCAGGACTTCATCCCCCACAGGAGGGGATGAAAGGGAGAGCTCCCTGGGTAGAGGTCATCTTTCCTGTGCCCATCCCTAGGGTGTGGATCTTCTGTCAGGCCGAGTGGCCAGCACGAGGTGTTCTGCAAGGTGTTCAGAACTCCTGCTAAGCCAGCTCAATGCTCCTCATAGCAACCTCTGCCTGCTGCTGCAAGCTCTCCCACCTCAAAGAGCTGGGTGGTTGCTCACCAGCCTGCAGCTCACCTTTGGGGACAGAAATCAAAGCATCTTGGTACTACACTTGATCTTAGCCAAAAGGCTGAGAAGCAATAATCAAAGCATCTTGAGCAAACCCACTTCCATTCGAGTGTCTGCAGCTTCATTCCACTCAGACTTCAAGGGGGTTCCTTGACCAGAGACCCAACACCCGTCAGGGGACACAAGGAAACCCAAGCTCGCCCCCCGTACTCCATTTCCAAGAACAAACTCCATCTCTAGACCCTAATCTTCAACCTTCCCCCAAGAACACTTATTACTGCCCCTCCTCCATACTGTGGAAAATCCCGATCCACAACCAGCTGTGTTAAGTTTAAAAAGTATTAAGTAGGGGCTGGAAAGACGGCTTAGAGGTTAAGAGCACTGGCCTTCTTGCACAGGACCTGGGTTCAGTTCCCAGCACCCATATGACAGCTCACTCCTGATCTTTAATTCCAGATCCAAGGGATCTGTCACCTTCTTTTGGCCTCCACAGGCACAGGCACCAACATAGTGCACTTGCATACATACAGAAAAAAATACCCATACACATAAAATAAATAAAATATTTTCTAAGTACTAGGTAGGGGCTGGAGAGCTAACTCGGCAGTTAAGGGTACTTGCTGTTCTGGCTGAGGACCAGGGTTTGTTTCCCAGCACACACATCTAACCTACATCTGGCAGCACACCTGCCTGTAAACTCAAGTTCCAGGAGATCCAGTGCCCTCTTCTGGCTTCCAAGGGCACTTGCACCCAGGTGATGCACATATAAGCACACACATACATATAAATAAAAATTGAAAATTAAGTAAAGGATTTCCACTCATTTACCCAGAGCTCAACAGGCACTTCAAACTCATATTTCCACACTGGACAGTCTGTTCATATAGCCTTGTCAAAGTTTTCTTTCCATTAGATTCAGCTTAAGAATTATTTAAAGCCAGGTGTTGTGATGCACACACCTAACCCCAGCATTCAGGAGGTAGAGGAAGGATCTGCAGTTGGAAGCCAGTCTTGGCTACAAGACCTATTTCATAAAGACAAACAACCCTTTCCCCAATTATGTGAATGCCTACTACATACCACACACTATGCCAGGCTCTGGAGAACTGCAGTGACTGCAGCCAAGGCAGAGACGTTCTGGAACCTCATGGAGCTAATAAGGAAGACAGACCACTAACAGGCAGGTAGGGACTAGGATGTGGCAAGACACTAGAGGAAATGCTGGCTCAGGCAGAGGGTGGCCTGTGGGAGGGCAACCTGGATTGAGCCCTAACATGGCAGGAAAGTGGCAGAGGAAATCCTGAGAGCACAGGCCACAATGGCTGCAAGTTCACAGAGAAGACAGGTTGTTGGGAGAACAAGGCAGAAGGGCCTTGAATGTTATAGTGGGACATCAGACCTTGCCCACAGAAAGGTTCAGGCATAGGCATGTGGTTTAGAGACAGTACATTGGCTGCTGAGTGAGGAACAGATGCGGTGGCAATGCGCCTTTTTGTTATTATTAAAGGCAAAGCCCTTGATTTCCTGTTTTATGTATCAGGATTTTCGGAAAGCAGAACACATCTGCAAGTAGCATACACAGACTAGTAATACATAAGATTACCCCAAAAGGCTCTGCAGTGCTGGGGATTGGACCCAGGGCCTTTTACATGCTAGACAAGCACTCTACCACTGAACTATAGCCCCAGCCCCTTTCTTTTATTTGAAACAGGTCTCACTAAGTTACCTAGGCAGGCCTTAAACTCATGTTACTACTTCAGCCTCCTGAGTGTGGGAATTACAGGCCTGGTTCCCACAAGAGTTTATAAGACCACTCCCCCTTCCACCATGCTGGGCCCTGACGCTGGCATGGGGAGAGAGGACTCAGTTCCCAGACTCATGTTGGGAGGTGATGTACACTAAGACAGCCCTTTGGGGCAAGGCAGAGAGGGGGACAGACGAACAGACAGGAAACATGGTAGACTATCCAGTCTTTAGAAACTGATAGAGAGGTTCAAAGACACCCATGATCGGTGATCTTTTTCTCCTTGAAACAGTCCATTAATTCATGAGGGCCCCATTTTTTTAAATTTTTATTTTATGTGCAAGAGTACATTGCCTGCAGGTATGTAAGTGCACCAGTATCATGCAGTGTCTGAGGAAGTCGGAAGACAGCATTGGATCCCCTTAAACTGGAGCTAAGGATGGTTGTTAACCACATGTAGGCGCTAGGAATAGAACCTAAGTCCTCTGCAAGAGCAGTCAGTGCTCTTAACTGCTGAGCCATCTCTCTAGCCCTAGAGGCCCCATTCTTAAATTTAGATGTCCCCTCCTCTAACTCTGAAAGACAGGATGAGGAAGAGCCAGGCCAATTGCTTCACTGATAGGGAAAGCCAGGGTTGCTAAAGGAGACAAGTGCAAGGGCAGGTGGTAAGCTATGACTGACACTAGACAGGAAAGCAATGGCCAGAGGCTGGGCAGCACAGCCAGGGAAGCAATAGGCCCAAGAAGGCAGGCCAGAAGCTAAGAGCAGGACACTGGGACTACCAGATTCCTGGTGCTCACCGTGTGCCTTAAACACTTGCCAAGCATGATGTATGTAATCATATGTTTGAAACTTTCTGATTGTGATTCCTTTCATTGCAAAACAATGTAGAAAACACCAGGAGGTTTACAGAGGAAGATAAAACCCATCCAGTCATACCTCCTAGAGGAAGCCACTGTTAACATGCATCTTTTATTTTTCATCCAGCATACTGCGAGTCTTTTCCTTTGACATGAATTATTTTGTTGTTTTGTACCTGGAATCAAATGCAAAGCCCTGTGCATAGCAGGCAAACGCTGTTCTACTGGGTTACATCTCCAGCCTAACTTGGGCTATTCTCCTACAACAGCCCTATGAAAGGCTCCAAGGCCTATCTTTGTTCCTCGTTTCTCAGCATCACCATAACACTTGGTGATAAGATCTTTGCATAATAAACTTTGACCCACGTTTCTGGTTATTTCCTAAATATAAAACCAAGCATGTTGGTTGGTGCATACCTGTAATCCCAGTGCTTGGAGAGTCAGTTCAAGGCCCCCAGCTACATAACAAGTTTAAGGGCCAAGCTGCCCTACATGAGACCCCGTCTCAAACAAACATAACAAAGGGCTCTAGCAATGGAATTCCTAGACGACACACCCAACCTTCTGCTTGTAGCCCTACACTGCACAGATATCCCCTGCCTTTGTTTTCAGCATTTGAAAATGGCAGAGCAGCCCAATGAAGTGACACTAGCACAGTATGGTCCTCACCTCACAAGCATGGTGTTGCCTGGAAGAGGAGCAAAGTGCTGGACTTACTGTTCAAGTCAAAGCAATGCTCTGTGAATAGCTGTCGGAAGATTTCTTTGAAAGCAAGTCCTCGCCTGGGTTAGAGGAACCTCAAGTACATGCTGAGCAATGGACTGCCAGCGCTGTGGATAGGAAACACCTGGGTCTGAGTCTCGTCCTAGATGCACATGATGAAAACTCCATAAGCCCTGTTAGGAGAGCAAGGCATGCTCAAGAGTAACGTGGTGCTTGGCACAGTAACAGGAGCCAACACCTGGGTGGCTCAGACAGAGTCCCTGTGATAGCCAACCCCATGTCTACAGGAACCCATTACCCAGTCTGCACATGCGCCCCCTGCCCCATAGGGAAACTTGAGAACATGCCAGCCCATTTTGGAGGAAATATGGGGTGGACGAGGGGGCAGCCCAATGGTTCTCAACACTGGAGCTCCTGGTAGCTGGCCGGAGTGCAAAGTAAAATAATTTTCTTCTCCAGGAAACTTTCTTCATTTACTAGTTAGTAACTGTTCAACTGAGCACCTGTCACAAGCCATGCAATCCCCTCTGCCTGTTTTAGCCTCACAGTAACCCATGAATCAAGTACAAGGTAAACTTCATCTGATACTGAGAACCAGGGAGAGGAGGGGACTTGTTCTAATGACTGCTTGGGGGTGGGGCTGGAGTCACAAGCTGGTTAAAGCAGCAGAATCCAAGTCCAGCCCAGATAGGTCATTCTAAACACACAAGGATCTGTTATCCACTCACACAAGTAGAAGGTACATGCTAAGACCTAGACTGACATGGATAGTAGTCACTGAAGGTAACATTGCAAAGGTGGGGTGGAGACAGATGTTTCAGGAAGAACACAAGCAACGGCCCTGTAAAGAATCTAGAATCGTTTGAAATGGTTAGGGGAGAAAGGGACAGAAGGGAGTGGTCAGCAAAAGGCTACGTAAGAACTTTGATATTCACCTCCAGGGTCACTGGTTTCAAATAAGAGTGGCATCTAATCAAGTGTTCATCTTCCCTGAAGGCCATTTCCAGGCACCCTGCTACACTGATAGCCAGGAGGTTAACAAGTCTGCTTTGGTTATAGCCTAGGCCAAAGCTAAAGGCTTTGGGGAGAAACCCCATTTAGCTACACCTGCTCTGCCCTCTGGGGACCACATGTCCACAAGCACTGTGTGCCAGGTTGTAAGCCCAGAACCGCTTGGCTTCACTCACATTCCAACCTCGAAACAGCCCTACTGGGCTTTCCAGATGAGAAACTCATTCCTAAACAGGGCAAGCCACCCACCTAGGGTCAGAAAGATATCAGCAGACTGAGCTCTTAGCTCAGGATGCCAGAAACCAAAGCTCTCATTTTGGTCACAATGCTAACAATGCTAATAATAATAAAGCCTCATCAGCAATGTACAAATTGTGTATACTGTGTAGAGAATCTTTAAAGACCCTAACTTTAAGGGTTATAAAACCAGAAGCAGAATCTGCCCCAACTTGTAGAACTTGTACACCAGGCGTGCTCTTGCCTCCCCTGACCACAAGTTCACCTTGGCCTGGCCTAGGTTTGTCTTGAAGCCAACCTCTGCCCACTTCCTGGAGGACGATGTAACAGTGGAAAAGATGGAGTAAAGCCATCTCATTATACTGCTAACCCCTGTCTTTGCTCAAATACAGGGTGCATGTAGTCATCTGCCCACAGGAACTTTGCAGCAAGTTCAGAAACGTGTCTATCATGGCAAAAAGGTGACCAGGAGAACAAAATTTACTCCTAGTATTCATATTGAGAAGGGAACAAAGTGACTCCAATTAGTACTCAAGGTTCTTCCTTCCCCTTTAACATTGAGGGCAGTGTGACCTGTTCACTTGACTCTCAATCCTTGGGCTGTACTGATTCCCTGTTTGTGCCCTGCTATGCCAGCAGCACTACCCAAGTCACTTAAGCCACCCTCTAAAGCAGGGCCTTAGGCTCATTCTATAGATGGAAACTGAAGACCAGAGTCTCACAGTCACAGTGTCGCACACAGCAGCTGCAGCAGAGCCGGGAATGGACTCTGAAGTAATGAGTACCAGCAAGTTACCTCACAGAGCATGGTACAGGAATACATGCCACTCTCACCTCCTCATCCTGAAACAGAATCCTCCAAAAAGTGCCAGGAGCCTGAGGAAGGACTAGAACAGGAGGTAATGAGTCACTAACAGTCTTCACACGAAACATTTTATTTGATGCAAAAATTCTAAGGTACAAAAACATCTTACAAATATCAGCTGCGACTATCATCTATTTACAGAGTTTTGTACAGATCAAATATACCACTAACATCTTTAATGTAAATATATAGCACACTGCTACAGTCTGTCCATGCTCACTCTTCCGCGCCAAATCCCACAAAGGACAAGCTTAAAACAAAAGCAGTATCAATCATTGTGTTCTACAGGCCTTCCTCCCTAGAGACATGGGGACAAGGGCTTTCAGAGTGAAACTTGTTTGTTTTTAAACTATTAGTGAAAATCAAAGTTACCATCCAAATGAACACTTTTGCCACTGTTCAGGCTTGACATGTGGTTTTTTTTTGAGAGGAAGAGAAATGTTTGTAAATAATAGATTATCACATTAAGTGTAAGGCAATGGCAGCCGCAGAAGGCTGCTCCTGGCTGATTCTGATATAAATATCAGTTATGCAGCCAGAATTATTCCTTCTGTCCTTGATTGTGTGAACAGTGCCTGCTCCACCAACAGCCGCAGCTCCAGAGCACAGAAGAACCCCTGGAGGTGTCAGTGGTCCCTGGTGAACTTCAAGGACTAACCCAGGAGCAAGAAAGAAGACAACTGGCCAGAATTCCCCAGAGGTCCTCCCAGGGGTATTTAAATGTGATTGCAAATCAGCCCTCAACAGCAATCAATGGGAGGGTAGCACTTAGCAACTTCCAGTATCACTGGGCTAGCTAGTGGTTCAACTGAAGTCTGCACCGTTTAAGTGCTACTGGGATTCACAAATAAAGGTAAAGTTTAGAAACAGGTAAAAATAGATTTTTGAATGTGGGATAGCTGCCTCTTAGAAGGCAAGAGCTGGTCTTGAAAGGTGTGTCCTAACACACAAGTGGTGGCCCACACCTTTAGTCCCAGGGGTTGGGAAGCAGAGAGGCAGGTGGATCTCTGTGAGTTCTAGGCTAGCCTGGTCTACATAGGGAGCACACATAAGCCAGCCAAAACTAGAGTGACATCCGGTCTCAATGAGCCCACCCCCCAAAAAAGTGTCCCCAAGTTAAAGAAAGACATTAAACACATCAGGAATAAGCACCAAGTATTAGTTTAGCCCTGGAGAGGAAATAAACCACAGGAGAGAACTATCACTAAGAGAAAAAAAAAAAAAAAAGAAAAAAAGAAAATGTGGCAGTCAATTACCCTCAGAACAGTAAGGGATGCACCAGTTTTTTAAAGTGCCACTATATTTTTAATGTGGCAAGAGCAGGCCTACATAAATGTCCCTGTGATCCTACCCAGAGTGTGGCTGTCAGAAGGCGCCATTGTGAATAAGGCAGCAGTGTTGTCTGGGTAACTGAACTGAGCGTAAAGCTAAGAAACTCAAGAACAGTGAAAATTATTAAGCTCCTGAAAAACGAGAGCTGTGAAGAATGTTTTAAGTGGGTGGGATTATTTGCCACTGGAAAAAAACACCAGAAGGATGACTTTACTGTGGTTCTCAACGCAGGGAAGGTGACCAGCTGCTCTTTCTCCACTGCACCCCAAACAAAAGAAAGCTGGTTTGAATTTCTGCAAGGGAGATACACAAAGAACTATCTGATCAGCAGGGAGGTTAGAATCTTCTTCACTGTGACCCAGAATCTCTGCCACAGCCACATGTCTGGAATAATTCAAGCAAGCCTGCCTGGAGGGAACACGCTGGGTGATTTAAGCGTCTCCAAGCCTGCAAATTCTGAAAGCGGATTCAAATCAGCTAACAGCTTGCAATCAGACTTCTTTGGTTTACGTTCATCCTGAGCCTGGAAAGGTAGTGATGTGGCAAGGGTGACCCAACACCCTTGGTGACTTCTGGTATCTCAACATCACAAAAGTTGTTCTCCATCTCCTGTGTCACACCTCCAAAGCAGCCAGTTACCAGAACACTGAAAAGCACTGGTGTGAGGGGGCTCTAGAAGATTCTTGGTCGTATCTATACAACCCCTGCCCCCACCTCATATAATTCTCCTAATTATATCTTGGCCTAAGCTCAGAATTGCACACTACCTAAAAGCATGATTACATCTAGAGCTAAGCTATAAATAAGGCCCTAGGAGTCATGAAGTTTAAATGAAACTGTTGCCAGCATCATGCTTTTTAATTTGGGGGAGTATAAACCTGAATTTGAAATGAACAGCTGACCTGCCTTTCCCTTAAGACATTATGAAATGTAAGGAAGTGATCAAAACATTTCAAATACATTCAGAAGCATAACCATGCTGGGCTTGGTAGTGCACACCTGTAATCCTAACATTTAAGAAGTGGAGAGAGGAGGATCAGAAATTCAAGGCCAGCCCCAACAACATTAGACTTTGTGTCAAGAAACAAAAACTTGAGAAGACATCAAGTTTCTCTGAAGGATGAGGTTAGCAGCTGCTTCTCCTGGGGGCACCTGCCATTTGTAATTACTGTGGATGGCTGCCATTTCACAGCATACAAAACAAAGGTCACAAACTGGCAGCTGGTGGGCAAAATTAAGTCTGTATATGTTCGGTTGATCATAAATTCGCTTTAGAAGTTTCTAAAGTGGAAGTGCCAATATTTTATGGTTTTAGTTGTACTTTTTTTCACTATTAGTATGTGTATACATTTGTGAGGTTGGGGGGTAGGGAGGAAGGTGTGCCTGCCATAGCCTGCTTGTGGAAGTCAAAGGACTTAACTTTCAGGAGTCAGTTTTCTCCTTCCACTGTGGGCTCCAGCAATCAAACTTAGGTCATCGGGCTTGTAAAAGAGCTTTTACTCACTGAGCCATCTTGCCAGCCCTAGTTGTTAGAATTTTAAAAATTGGACATCCTCAGCTTTTCTTGAAGAATAGGAAGATCAGGAAATACTTCATGGAGACACTCATTTGGAAGAGCTGCCCCCTGTAGGATAAACAGGGCTTTTCAGTCTACTCCAATCCCCACCATGTCCCAGAATCTCTGAGTGGGAAGGTGTCACTGCCATGGACCGTCACACAGATGTTTTCCTTGTACCTGGGGACACTGGAGCCCCCAAAGGCACAGAATCTCCTGAATAAGAGCAGCTATCTCCAACAATAGAAACTAAAGAACACTAAAAACCTTCACTCTGGCATTGCCTACCTTTCCTCAATAAAGGCAGAATGGTTTCTCTCTAATGTTGAAGTAGCTAGGGACTACATGGTTTCCTTTCTTTTTGGAAGAAGGGTATGCCATTTCTTCTCCAGGAATAAAATAGCTTCCCCACTCCCTCTGGGGAAGAAAAAAACACACTGAAAATCCTGTAATCCCACAGTTACAGAAGGATAATCTTATTTAGTTGAATAAAAGTCAGAGGACTTAAGACTAGAGGTTGTCAGAAAACTCAGTAACAACAAAAGAAAAATCTTGTGGTTATGAAGTAGCAAAACTGAACTCTGATAACCACATAAGTCCTCAGAGATCCAGAAATTCCCACATGCTGATTCCAATGACACTATCATCACTAAAGACAGCATTTTTTTTTTAAACTTCTGACCTAGGACTGACTTCAATTAGATTGTGTGTCAATCAAAAAGTTAATCTCAGTTGGGCATGGTAGCACACACTTTTAATCCCAGCACTCAGGAGGCAGAGGCAGAGGCAGGTAGATCTCTGTGAGTTTTAGGCCAGCCTGCTCTACATAGTGAGTTCCAGGTCAGCTGGGGCTACAGGGAGACCCTGGCTCAAAACAAAACAAAACCTTTATTACCTAGCTGGGTCCCATCTGACGACCCGAGCCTGGACTAGAATCCCTTCTGATTCTTTCTGAGAATCCATGTGCCTCAAATCTCAAAGTCTCCACCTCTGAAGGAGCCTCTGCACCCAGGTCCATTCAAGGTGGTCCATTACTTGCAGCCAGCTGCCCTGTGGCTAGGCATTCTCTCTCCCCACTCTCCGAGCAGAGCTGATTGCATCAGATGCACCAGCGAGGTGCCTGTACAGGTCAACAACGAGCTCCTAACCTGCAGCCTTGTTGGTTTCCAGGCACCATGGACTCACCCCTGGACTCCTACCCAGGCGACACCCTCTAAGTTACTTTCTACTCTCAGACCAGGCCTTTGACTAAGTGCATCTCTGTAACCTCTTCTTGTTTCCCCAAAGCATCAATAAGTCTGTGACTTGGCAGAACCCTTCTCTGAATTCTATCTTATCATTTCCACTGCATGGAACAATCTGTAAGTAGAAAAATGCAACTCGGCTCAGAGCAGATGTTTTGCCTTAATCTGCAAAACAATTCCCACTCCTAGCATGATGAGGTGGATGGGAGAAAAAAAAATTGACTAATGACGTTTCACTTCATTATCCACTTATCAATTTACTCTGAGTTAAGCAATCATATTTCATTATCTGGCACGTTAGAACCTGAGTCTGTTGATCAGAAACATTTGTATTTCAAAATAAAAGCATCCAAACTAAAACGTCACCTGATCCTGACTTTTAGACAAGCATTTTAGACGGCTGAGGTGGTTTGCCTTCCATTTCCACTCTCTGAGCAGGCCTGGGAACAGGCATCCACACTGTTCTTGGGGCAGCTCTCGCAGAGATGCTTCATTCCACATGCAAAATTGAATATCTACCCTAAAAGCAGATCCTAATGGCGCCTTTGGGAACACAAAATATCTCTTGGCTTCAGTTAAATAATGATAATGTTCCGAGTGACTTTTCATTCGTTAGCAATTTGGGCACACCAATCTCCCTCACAGAATATAAGATGAGATTGAGAACAGGCAGGGCAGCCTCATGGAAGTGGGAGCTCTGTCTGCTCCTCCTGGATTCCAAGGTGACACCACTGACGGCTCTCCTCTACCGAGATGCATGGTTTTATGGTGAGACAGTCTTGTAGCTCACGGTCTCTCTGAGCAGCTGCTCTGTTCTCTGGCAGAAAAAAGGAGCACGTTCTCCCAAGAGCTGCCAGCTGCCCTTACAGAGCAGGGAGGAGGGATTTGCATCCAAAATACACACAAACCTCTTCTTCCCAGGAGGAGCCCAAGCCTGCTTTGCCCACCTGCTGAGCACATGCCTTGAATAAAAAGCCCTGCTTCATCCTACCCCCACCCCACCTTGGGATCTTTCTCAGCGACCCACTCAATGTTGGTCCCTGTCTGGTGAAGGAGTGAAAAACCACAGTTCTGGCAGAACGCTCAGAAAACAGGCTGCCAAAACCCAACAGCGCCCATGACAAAGGTGAAGGATGCTCACAGCAAGTGTTCCAGGGCATGGCGAGGCTAAGGGCTTCCACAGAGACTAACACCTCATTACGCTACACACATCTAATCAATAAATGTGATACAAACAGATGCTTATCCTTTGGAAACAGAATTTCTGTAGAAAAGTCATTCACAAAAATATAACATTTACTTTTGTGACAATCCTCTCCTTTCTGCCGTCGGAAAAGGAGGTTTGTCATTAGTCAAATCCAGTTCAGCAGATTAACTGGCCACCACCTCTACACACTATTGTATCAGTGAATTCTCACTCCTAACATTTAGGATACAGTGCTAGAGCAGCCAAAGCACAAATTGCAGCTTCCAGTAATGCTGCTGCCCAGCTGGATAAAGGTCTTCTGTTTCCAGACATCATCACCTGCACTACAGCATGTAAATATAACCCAGAAACTTAACAGGCAGCTGTGGTCCCCACATGATGGCTACTCAGACCCAGAGCAGGCTGTGTGTCCAGGTTCTGGTATCTTCTGCACATCAGCCAACCCATTTCAGACGGAATGGTCAAGATGGTCAGCCTGCTTCCTGGGACTTCATCCTCACCCAGCAATACATAAAATGATTGGATGGACAGTCATTTGTGCTCTTGACCTTTGTCTTAAAGGTAATTTAACACTCATGGCACTGTAAGCTCCACATCAAAAACAATGGCAGCAACATCTGCAGTATGATCTAGGGTCTAGACTGGCACTTGACTCCAGTAACTGCAGTGATGTTAAAAGTGCTTCTTCCACAAAGCAGTAGAATCGGCATAGCCAAAAGTGAATACGTAGGTAAAGTTTGCAGAGCTCAGTGAAGTTAGAATGACCAGTGGAGGTGCTTTCCTGTTTCTTTACCTGTTTCCTCCCTACCTCCCCCAGCATAGGCTCTGATCCAATGCAGCCAGCTGTCGTCATATCTAATGGATGTGCCTTTCAGAGCTCCATATGCTTTCAGGAAACTGGAGACTTCTCTAAGATATCTAGTAGAGGGGCTGGAACAGAGGAGAGCAAGTACTGGCCAGACTCTCCTTCCAAATAGCCTTGCATGAGCCCTCAGCTCCAAGTAGGCCACATAACCAGAGAGGAGCTGGGGAACCAGAGAGAGGCAGCAGCTAAAGTGGCAATGCTTGGACTCTTCCCCACTGTTATAAAGGGGCAACCGCGTGGAATTCCTCAGTGCAGCTGTGGCAGCCAAGTTCTGCTTTGCACACGCCAGAGGCGAGGAGCTTGGAAGGGAGGGCAGGAGGATCCTCCTCACCTGAGGAAAGAAAGGACAGAGCCACAGTCAGTCTGGACCCTCATTCTATAGTATGATTGGGCCCTAAACTTGGACTTGGTGCAAATGAGGAATGCATCCGAACCAGCTCAAACCAGCACCCTCCTTCTTCTAACAGGTTCTGGTCCCTGTAGCTGAAGAAGGAAGAGTCCTGCTGGGCGTAATGGCGCACTTCCTTAATCCCAGCACTTGGGAGGCAGAGGCAGGCAGATCTCTGTGAGTTCAAGGCCAGCCTGGTCTACATAGCAAGTTCCAGGACAGCTGGGGCTACAGGGAGACCCTGTCTCAAGAAAGACCCCCCCAAAAAAAAGAAAAAAAAAAAAAAACCCAGAAGATTCCTTCCTTGAGGGCCAAGGGGTTGCATGCATGATCCCAAGTAGTTCTAAGTGTGGCAGATTGCTGGGGGCTTCCTGAAGAAGTAGACCTTCCTGTGAACCCTCCTACCTGGGGCCCTATGCTGAGCTAAGATGGAAAGAATATGATAGTCTCAGGTTCAATATACCTCACACAGACTAGAGAGATGGTTCAGTGGTTAAAAGCTCTAGTTGCTCTTGCAGAGGATCTGGGTTCGGTTCCCAGCACCCACTAGGAGAAGAACAACCAAACTAACTCCAGTTTCAGGAGATCCAATGCCCTCTTCTGACCTCTGTGAGCATCGCACAACTTGGGTTCACTTATATACATGCAGGTAATACACTCATACACATAAAATAAAAATAAAAAATTTTTTAAATATGCATCTTGGCTTTCATGGCAGTGAGAGGGTGACACTACAGGCCCCAACAATGACACAATCCCATAGCCCCTTATCTAATGCATTGTGTTTGGGTATTCCAATGGTTTTGGAGTTCAGAAAGGTAACACAGGGCTGACAAGACAGCTCAATGGGTAAAGGTGCTTGCTGCCAAGCCTGACAACCTGAGTTTAATCCATGGGACCCACATGGTAGAAGGAGAAAGTTGTCCTGTGACTTCTGCATGTGTCCCATGACATCTGTCCAAAAACATATATTTGTGCACACACAGAAAAAAATAAATGTAACTTTAAAAAAGGTAATACAGTGTACAGCAATACTTATAGATATATAACACTTGTGGAGGGGTCTGGTCAGATCCCATAATCGACCATCAGTATTTCTGTAGTTCAATGTTCCCATTATCTGGGATAAATCAAGACTATCAAAGGGGCTATATTACTTCCTATCAGGTTTCACTATCCATTAAGGAACCTAAGTTGGGAAATGCTTTGATGGCTTTTGGAAATGGGTCCTAAATCAAGAGCCCAATCCCAGGACATCTTACCTAGGCCAGAGGAGGAAGATATGCTCTCTGTCAGAGAAGATGTCTCCATCTGGTCAGGAGAGAGTCCTTCCATCAGAGGCAGAGACAGCTCGGATGAGGGCATGGAAGAGTCGTAGATGCCCGAGTCCCTCGGCATGTCTGAAGGGCTGCCAGCTTTGACTGCATGCAGCAGGGGCTGCAAGGTGGAACCACCATCACAGGCAGATCGGGCCTCAGTATCTTGGTCCAGGCCTGCATATTGACTCTCCAGGTGTGAGTACTGGTCAACTGGCCCAGTTGCCCCAAGAACAGCAGCCTCAGCCTTTAGACAGAAGTCACTCTCTGACCCTGGTTTGCAGATGACATCATTTAAAACCAAGCCTGAGTCAAACTTCTCCAGGATTGGCTCCCGATAGCGCAGCGGGGGAGGATGGAAGGGTACAAACTGCTTCTCAAACCAGTCAGGCTCCTCATCAATAAACTGGTGCATATTGCAAATAGCAACATACAAGGAACGACCTGACTTGCTCCGGAAGTAGTTCCTTCTATTGCTGTATCCTGCATGTTGCCCCGGCTCCTGAAGGCCTTGTTTTCCTGAGTGTAGGTGGGAACAAAGCTGGGGAAGGTTGTCCATGAGTTTGTATTTGGTGCTCAAGTCCAGGACGCAGGGGACATCTCCCTCACAGGAATAATCAAAGTAGACAGCAATGAACTTGCTAAGTGTGGCAGATGAACTCTGCTTGGCTTGGCGGAGCCTTTCGGCAATGACTGCCATAGCCACCAGGAAGAGGTCCCCTTTGCCCACACCCCGGCTGCCTCCTTTGTGTTTGTAGTTCTTGTCTACGAAGTATTTCATGCCTTTGGAACACACTACAATGATGAACTGGGACTCATGGATCTTCTGAAGGACCCATTCTTTCTGTCCTTCTCTGCAGAGGCTGAAATCTTCCCATAGGTCGAGAGCCACCTGTAAAGAGGACAGGACAGCTCACTCGCCTACGCCAACACCCAGAAAGCAAACTGGAATCAGGAGACGATAATGCTGGATGACGCCCCATCATCTGCTCTTTAGCCAGTAATAATTAGCAGGGCTCTGAGCAGGCTCTGGGTGAACCGGTGGGAACCACAGCCACATACCAAATGCTCTGAAAATATATCATTAGCAACATGTGTGGTCATTACCAAGTGAGGAGAGAGAAGCACAGAATTTTTAGCAACTTATCTCGGACAACTTGGGTATGCCCTCAAGGAACTACAGAATGCTGGGGAGCATGAAACAGAGGGAACTGAGGCTGTGGCATATGATGAGTGAGGCTATCAGATGCAAGGATCAGGTCCTGGAGACTAGGCTTTCAGGCTCTGAAAGGAGGATGTAGATGAGTGGCCCCAAAGTATGCTGGAAAATGGGGCTTGGGCCTGAATTCCAGAGTCATCCACAACGAGGGTGACACAGACTCAGGATTAGCACACTGGTCAGCTGTGTAACAATGGCCATCCTGGCTAACTCATTCTGGAATGGGCACCTTTCTCTATGGCTTCATAGAGGTACATACTGTCATAGCATTTAAGACCTGTGAACCATGAGGCTTTGGAGGGAAAGGTGCTAGTGGAAAAGTAGCTGGTAGTAGAATCCCTGAAAAAGAGAAGAAAACCAAATGCCGGTCCCCGCCCCAGAGGGTTTTACCTCCTGAGACCACTTTCATCAGATTCTGCTGAAAACATCACTTGGCAATTGTGTTGGCATCATTTCTCTTGTAGCTAAAAACTAATTGCCAATGACTAAACATGGAATACACAGGGGAAAGGCATTCTGAAAAGATTTCATTCTTGGGCTGAGAATGGCAGCACATGCCTTTAATCCCAGCACTTGGGAGGCTGAAACAGGAGGATCTTGGCGAGTTCAAGGTCAGTCTGATCTACATAGTGAGTTTCAGGCCAGTCAGGGCTATGTAGTGAAACCCTGTCTCAAATTAAAAAACGATTTCATTTTCCTCTTCTGTTCTAAGAGGTACCTACTTATTAAGGGAAGAAAGGGAATAGCATTCATCCATTTGCTAAAAAAATAAAATACTGAATTGTCTCATATTTTAATTCTTGATAACATTATACATGTTTAAGCTACTGGATATATATATACCAAACATTTCAAAATATTTCTATCTTTGAGCAATTTTATTTCCAGGCATTTATCCTTATGAGATCTTTAGAAATGGGGCACTACTGAACACTACTAAGAGGCCTCACAATCTGTACTAACTCAGTTATAGTAGTGGATGATGTAGCTATTTAAAATGTAGCTATTTTGCAATTTGTCAAAAAAAAAAAAGAGAGAGAGAAAAAGAAAGAAAAGAAAAGCACTATTAGTATATAAAAGTATTAAGACGGGGGGGGGAATCATCCCAATTTTACCCAAAGTACAAAAAAAAATTATATTTGCAATTTCATCTATGTACAGCTACACACAGTTTATGTCTGCGGTATGTGAAGACTGTGTGCCGATGGCTAGTGTTTACAGTGCTTTTCCAGCAGGGGCTGATCTGCGGAGCTCAACAGGAGGAAATCATGCCAATCTTTATATACTTTATTAACACCAGAGGGCAGTCTCACCATATGGAAAGAGCCTGAGACACAGACCAACTGACAGTTTCAAAGGAACGCCACAATACTGTATGATTATTGCCTTTGTAGCAAACAATGCACCTTCCATAATAGCATCTGGCTTCACTCTAAAAATTAACACTACCATCGTCAATGGAAAAGCTATGTCCCAACAGTAAATTCAAGAAGTAGGCTAAGAAACCAGCACAGACATTCAAAGGTTCTCCTACTTCCTGGTTCTCTCTGCCTACTGTTCTTTCTTACCATACTTTCCATGGGGTTTTCCAAGGACTTTCTCCCTTTCCATGACATTATACCAATCAAGGGTCAAACAACCTCACAGAGCCCTTTGTGATACATTCTTCCTGGTCCCGAAGATCCATTTAGTGGATCCTTAGTACTAGTGATGAGTCAAATAGAATGAAAGAAGAGTGAAGGACTGTCCCCAGTTTGGAAACTAAGACACTAGTCAAAAGTGCGGTTCCCAGAAATAGCACTGGGGGAATGGGTAGTGTGTGGGACATGTATCCTGCCCAGATAAGAAGAAACTGAATTCCCCACCTCGCAACCACAGAAGTCCTGGAGGAAATAGGCGAAACACTGGACGACGTTCATGTGATTCTGGCCATCTTTACTGGAGTAACAGAGGAAGATCTTGGGGCGTGGCCGGAACCTCTCCCTGGGGAGGGCTGCAGGGTATGTGGAGGACTCGGAGCTCTCTTCGTCTAAATGTGAATATATATTTTCTAAATTGGGAAAGAAGACAGAGTTGACACTATGAACAAAGCTTTGTCTTTTTCCATATGACTTGGGAGGTAGGAAAAAAAACAGGACCTGATCCTCCTCAGCTACACAGTGAACTGAAGGCCAGCCTAGGCTATATGAGATTGTCTCAAGAGTAAAAAAATAAATAAATTTTAAAAAAGGAACAGCTGACAGAATTCTCAGGTCTCTAACTCCATAGGCCTCTCAAATCTTCACTGTGAACCAGTCAGTTTCTGCAGTGGAGTATCAAGAAGTAAAAAACTTGGAGGCTGGAAAGATGGCTCAGCAGTTAAGAAGACTGGCTGTTCTTGCAGAAGACCTGGGTTCGAATCCCAGGACCCCCATGGCAGCTAACAGCTGTCGGTAACTCCAGTTCCAGGGGATCCAACAGCCTCTTCTGTCCTTCGCGGGCATTGCACAACACAGGTGCACTTACTTACATGCAGGCAATACACGTATACACAGAAAATAAAAATAATAAAATAAAATAAAAATTAAAAAAAAAAGAAGTAAAAAACTCAACCTGACCACAGACAGCTGCAGGAGCCACTCAGGTCAGCGAGGTGCTCATCACTGGCTCTGGCAACTAAGTGAACTAAATAAAACATTAGCAGGGGGGGATGGAAGGATGGAGGGATGGAAGGAAAGATAGGAGGGAGGGAGGGAAGGAGGGATTTACTGAAGGAGAATTTACGAAGATAAAAGATAAAAGAGTACCAAGAAAAAGGTGACTTGTCTCCCTGTATTGTCCAGGCTAGCCCCCAACTCCTGAGTTCAAGTCATCTTCCAGCCCCAGCCTCCCAAGGAGCTGGAATACCAGGCCTACGCCATCATACCCAGCTAAAAGTGCACAAATCTTAAGTGAACATCTTCATAACGTTTATATACGTTTACACACCTGTGTAACCCACTCAGACCAAGATGTGACTAATTTACAGCTCCCCAGATGTGACAGCTGACTTTATCAATGATGAAATCCTCCATATATCTTTGTACCCACACTTCAGACTTTCTGAGTTTGAGGACTGAATTAGGCCTGTCTTTTTAGAGGCCCCAGAGATGAAAAGACAAATATTTGAATTCTAGGAACTACAACTGGCTAGGAACTGACAAGGAGGTAGGTATGAGGGGTCCCAAACCCCTCCCAGGAGAACAAGGGGTTCCCAGGATCCCTCTTTGTTAGCATGCACCCGACTGCCACTTCCTGGAGCAGGGGGCACGGCACAAATACCTTGTTGCTTCTTGCGGCACATCACAGTGAAGAGCGTCGCAAAGGCTGATATGACCACGAGCGGCACGGTGATAGCCACGGCTCTGATGGGCCCAGCCCACGGTGAGTGCACTAAATTTCAAAGAGAAGGCTTTACACGCAAGCAGAGAAACAGGTTCAAAGAGAAGTAACTCTTATTTTCTTGGTTTGGGTTTTTTCTTCTTTTTCTTCTTCCTTTTAAACATAAGCTGACTAACAGGTTCTAGGACTTCCCCAATCACCCTTCTCTAGCTCTGATTGTGGTGACTATAAAAGGACTCAACAGTTCTTTTTAAAGGGTTGAAGAAAATAACTCAGTAGCTCAAAATCTGCTGGGGCGGGAAATACCTTTGAGTGAGAATTTTGCCTACGGAAACCTTTCCTCCCACCACTTTTCTTCCAAGGACAATTGCCTATTTAGTCTCAGTGACGGATGCCACACTGACTTTGATCTTCCAAGCATCAAAATGAAAGTAGAAGGAAACTCAGAGTGGATGGAAAGCCATTTAAGAGAGGTGAATTGTCTTGTTTTTATATGCCATGTAGTACAGAGTACAGAAAATACTAGATGCTCTGCTTGTCAACAGTGTTAACATCAAATTCAAACCCAACAGCTCTTACCTGGCTTTACAACATACTGCACCACTTTCCTTGTTGTGTTAGTGTCATCCACCAGCTACAAAACAGAGGGTGCTTCATTATTGTTTTTTAAGTGATAGCACAACTATGTATCTATGAGGGATGTAGAAAATTGGTGTTTTGGGACTGAAGAGACGGCTCAGTGGTTAAGAATGTGCACTGTTCTTGCAGAGGACCTGGGTTCAGTACCCAGCACCCACACAGGAGTTCACAACTGTCTATAACTCCAGTACCAGGGGATCTGATGCCCTCTTCTGGTCACCGTAAGCACCATGCCTGTATTTGGTGCCCATATGTATGCAGGCAAAACACTCATTCACATAAAATAAAAATAAATCTTACACACTTCATGTTTTTTAATTAGCAGGCAGTGGGGTGGGGGTGCACAAAGGGAGGATATTGGCAACAGTGAGCTGCTGGGCATCTAAGCACTCACAGTCAATCTACTCAGGGCCACCTCTGCTTTAGGGACTAAAACCCCTAACCCTCTAACCTCATGCCTCTTCTCATGAACTAAAAGCCTGTTTACCCATTGAAGAAGTCAGCTTGTGATTCCACCATTCTAACAATTTGCAGTCACATGTGTGGCTACCACTGACATCTATGGGTCTTAGTAAATGCCTTAAAGGTACATCTATCCCAAGTCTCACACTGCTACACTTAGGAATGCAAATTCTAGAAGTTTCTAACAAAGCGTGAAGATGTGCTGGGAATACTGTCAAGTTATCTCTTTTTATTTATTTATTTTAGGTTTGGTGTTTTTGAACAGGGTCTTATGTAGCCATGACGGCCTAGAACTCTACATGTAGCTGAAATGACAATGAACTCCTGATTTTTCTGCCTCTACTTCCCAAGTGCTGGGATTATAGGCATGCAATGCCATATCCAACTTCTCTCTTTCTCCTTTTTTTTTTTTTTTTAAAAAACAGTCTTACTCTGTAGCCCAGGCTGGCCTGGAACTCACTATGTAGACAAAAGTGGCCTCAAACTCTCCTCAGCCTCCCAGGTACTGGCATTACAGGCATGATTCATCACACCTAGTTTACTTTTTTAAAACTTTATTTTTATTTTTTATTATTGTTTTATGTTTATGAGTGTTTTGCCTGCATGTATTTAAGTGCATTATGTGTATGCAATGCCCATGGAGGCTGGAAGTGCTGGATCCCCTGGAACTGGAGTTACTGACAGCTGTTAGCTGCCCTGTGGGTGCTGGGAACTGAAACTAGATCCTCTCCAAGAGCAGCCAGTGCTCTTAACTGCTGAGCTATCACTCCAGCCCCTACTTTTATTTTTATAATACTAGTTTACATGGCAATTAATCTTTTTCTTTGAGACAGGATCTCATTATATAGCCCTCACTGGCCTGGAACTTGCTATTTAAACCAGGCTAGCCTCGAACTCTAGAGATCCACCTGCCTCTGCCTTCCAGAGTGCTGAGTACAGGGATTAACAGCATATACCACCCTGTGGTAAATTAATCTTTAAAAAAGCAAGGGATGGTGAGATGATTCAATGGATAAAAGTGTTTGCTAAGCAAGTGCAAGGCCCTAAATTCAAATCACCAGAACCCACCAGAGCCAGACACAGAGTGGAAGCATCTGCTCCTGCAGGGAGATGTGAGGCAGAGACAAGGGACTCTTGGGAAGCTCAGAGCCCAGCAAGACTGTGGTGAACAACAAGGAGACCCTGTCACAAAAGATGGTGGAAGACAAGGGCAAAACACACCAGGTTGTCCTCTGACCTCAACACACGTACCATGGCATGAATGTGTGAACCTGCATTCACACACACACACATGCCCGATCCCTAAACACACATACCTCATATTCCACACACATGTTCATCATACACATACATCCGCAAAAGAAACATGTCATCTACATGTGTTTTGATGTGATGGCCACAGATGACAGCAACAGAAACCCAAGGGAAATACAGCAGATGCAATGAGCATAGCACTGATTTCCATGCTCCAATGTTAAAACTGTGTGTGTATGTAGTGTATGTATATACACGTGTATGTATGGGTGTGTATAGAGGACCAAGGTCAATGTTGAATGTCTTTCCTCAATGGCTTTCCACCCTTATTTTTTTTCTTTTTAAAACTTATTTTGTGAATGTGCGTGCATATGGGCACGCACATTCCACAGTGCATGTATGGAATCAGACAACTTCTGGGAGTTGGTTCTCTCCTTCCAGACCATGTCAGTTTCAGGATCAAACTCAAGTTGTCAGGCCTGGCCACAAGTATCCTTATCCATAAAGCCACCTCGCCTCCACCTTTATTTTTATTTTTTATTTTTTTGAGAAACAGTCATTCTGTGAACTTGAAGCTTGTCAATTCAGTAGGATGGTTGGTCAATAAGCTTCAGAGATTAGCCTGTCCCTGCCTTCTAGTACTGGGGTTACAGAAATACACTGTCACTACTAATATGTGCGTTCTGGGGATCCTAAACTCAGGTCCTCATACTTAAACAGCAGGTACTTTACTGAACAAGCCATCTCTGCAGTGCCAAACAAAACTTTTTAAAGATATTATTTTTATTTTCTATGTGCCTGAGTTTTGCCTACATGTACATAAGTGTACCTGTGCATGCAATGCGCATGGAGGCCAAAAGAGGGCATCAGATTCCCTGGAACTGGAATTATAGACAGTTGTTGGCCATCATGTGGGTGCTAGGAACCAAACCCAGGCCCTCTGCAGTTATAGTCAGTGCTCTTAACTGCTGAGCCATCGCTTCAGCCCCCACAAGTTTTTTAAAGCTAAAATCTCTAAAAATAAGCTGGGCTCAATTATGCAGGCCTATGAATCTAGAAACTGGGGAGGCTGAGACAGGAGGATTATGAGTTCAAGGTCATCTTCAGCTCAGCTATACAGTGAGTTCTACACTAGCCCAGACATCTTAGTGAGATTCTATTTCAAAATAAAAGAGTGTGTGTTAGGAACAGCTCAGTGGTAGAGCACTTGTCTACCATGCTTAAGGCCTAGGTTCAATCCCAGTATCATAATTTTTTTTTAAAAAAGGGGGCGGGGGGCCTGGAGAGATGGCTCAGTGGTTAAGAACACTGACTGCTCTTGCAGAAGACGCGGGTTCGATTCCCATCACCCACATGGCGGCTACGAACCATCCTTAACTCCAGTTCCAGGGGAATCCAAAGCTCTCTTCTGACCACCATGGCATTGCATGACACGGGTGCACTCACATATATGTAGACAATACACTTATTTTTTTAAATATTTTATTTATTATTTTTATTTTATGTGTATGAATGTATTGCCTGCATGTAGGTAAGTGTATCCGTGCCATACAATGCCCTCAGAGGTCAGAAGAGAGCATCAGATCCCCTGGAACTAGAGTTACTGACAGTTGTTAGCCAACAATGTGGGTGCTGGGAATTGAACCTGGGTCCTCTGCAACTTCAGTCAGTGCTCTTAACTGCTGAGCCATCTCTCCAGCCCCACAGAAATTTTTTTTTTTTAAAGATAAGGTCTCACTATGTAGCCTAGGCTGGCCTGAAACTTACTATACAGATCAGGCTAGGCTCAAACTCATTGAGATCCACCTGCCTCTGTGTCCTGAGTGCTAGGATTACAGATGTGTACAATCATGCCTGGCCAGTAAACAGAAATTTTAAATTATGCGGACTATGTGATGTGGCACAATATTTGCTTGAATTGGATTTAATGAAAAGATCATGTTAGTTACATATAAACTTATTTTAAAAGGCATAAGAACCATGTAAAACTATTAATTGCACACAGCTTCAATGGCTGAAAATATGAGTGTTGTAAAGAATTAGAATTTGGGCCTAGTAATGTAGCTCTCTGTTGGTATAGTCTTTACCTAGCACTCACAAAGCCCTGAGTTTGATCCCCAAGACCACAAATACCAGCCATGGTGCTACATGAGTGTAATCCCAGCACTTGAGATACAGATTCAGGAGGATGAGAAGTTCAAGGTCATCCTCACTTCCAAGGGGAGTTTGAGCTCAGCTTTGGCAATATTTCATTTTTTTATCTTTTGGTCTTTTTGAAACAGGGTCTCCCTGTAGCCCCAGCTGGTCTGGAGCTCACTATGTAGCCCAGGCTGGTCTTGAACTCACAGAGATCCACCTGCTGCCTCCCAAATTCTGGGACTACCTGGGTAGTCTTGGTAATATCTTAAACAAACCAAGGACTTAGAATTCTACGCAAACTACCTCTGTAGAATTAATAGCAGAGTTTTCTATAGTTGTACATACCTCAATTACATAATCCCCTGGAGAAACATTTTGGAGGAGGCAGCTGGTCGTCTCTGCATTTTGGTCCTATAAAGAAAGCAAATAGCAATTCAAAAAGTCTCCTTAGACAAGGGTCTTCAAGGCCTCTCTCCCTTCCCAAGCAGGAGAATTGCCACTAGTTTTTGCTACTTTTTCAGAAGATATGAGTAGGTCAGAAAGCAACTGTTATCTAAATTTCATTTGATAAAAGGCTCAGCAGAGTCCAGGACCAGAGGTACTTAGCAGTACTACCCATTCTTTATCATTTGAAGATAAGGAAATGAGTTAAGAGTATCTTTTCTTCAATAAAAAGGTGAGAAGCAGCATCACCAGCTTGTATGTATTTTATTTGCCATAACTTCAACTTGAACAGAAGGCCAAAGAAGTCCAATGGAGGCCGGGTGTGGTGGCACAAGCCTTTAATCCCAGAACGTGGGAGGCAGAGGCAGGCGGATCTCTGTGAGTTCAAGGCCAGCCTGGTCTACATGAGTTCCAGGACAGCTGGGGAGACAGGGAGACCCTGTCTCAAAAAGGTCCCCCCCTCAAAAAAAAAGAAGTCCAATGGTACAAAATGAGAGTCAACAAGAGAGCAAAGCTATAACAGAGCCCAGGACAGGCAGGAGTGTGTGACGGAGCACAGAAAACTCTGAGCCTGCAGGAAGCAATATGGTGGTCCTGAGAATGTCCACAAAGCACTGTCCACTCCTCTACCACACTTAGTCTCTGATTCTGGTTACAGAGCTGCTACTTAACCTTGGCCTTTAGTCAATGTCAGTGTCCACTGATTTGCCAGTGGCTTGGCTCTCAGACCTCATTTTCCTACTTCCTATCTTTGTGATACCAAACAAGCCAGCTGACCAACCCCACCCCCAGCCTCAGATTCTCTCCATCTGTAAAGGAGGAATGGCAGACGCCTGTTTCATGGAGTGGTCAGGATTTAAGGAACAGAATGCTCAGTGCCTGCTGTGCAGTAAACACCTGGTGGAGGCTTTAACAGATAGAACAAACTTCCTCCGTTTCCCTAGTTATACATCTTCCAGGCTACATCATCCATGGAACAGCCAAGCTGGAAAAGAACCAGGGACAAGGATAAGACAGCTAGAGACAGACCCAATGGCAAGCATTCTGGTCCATCTACTGACCACTGTGGCCTAATGCTGTCCTGAGCCACCCAGTATCACCCTAAAACATCTATGTTCCTTTACATGTACCCAGCAGCTCACCTGCTTACAAGTCCTCCGCCTAAAGGGGCCTTCATGCTTGAGTTTGTAGTGAAGGTAGAAGACCCTGAAGCCAAAGCTGTGTGGTGCGTGGTCAAAGGACACCTGCATGTCCGCACCATGCTGGGTAATGTTCAGGTTACGGGGCTTCCAAACTGCAAGGAGGAAGGACCCAGAGTAAATACCCAAATGCTGCCCCTATGCTATTGACTGAGCAGCACTCTCAGACAGGAACAGCTATACTTACAGGGTTTACAGGCCAAGTTGTCTGGTTGTAACAACAGGTCACAGGCTATTATATTAAAAAAAAAAAAAATCTTTTTAGTTTTAAGATAGTTTGATGGCTTCCTTCTGTAACAATCAATAAAATGTAAATTGTACCCAGTGTTGCTGGAAAAGGCAACACTGGGTACAGTTACAAATTAAGATCAATTCAACAATGGTATCCATTACAGCGTAGTTATATCTTATGAAAATTTTAATGGTACAATATAAAAATATCAGCACAGGGGCTGAAGAGATGCCTCAGCAGTTAAGAATACTGAATGTTCTCGCAGAAGACCCGGGTTCAAATCCCAGCAATGGCAGCTAACAACTGTCCGTAACTCCAGTTCTAGGGACTCCAATGCCCTCTTCTAACTTCCAAGAGCACTGCATGACACAGGTGTGCTTCCATACATGCAGGCAATACACACATACACATAAAATAAAAATAATAAATAAAATATTAAAAAATATATATATTAGTACAGTATACTTTATGTCATCTAAATAGAACTGTGTAAAGTCATCAAGATTTTTTTTTTAATTTTATGTGTATGAGTGTTTTTCCGGCATGTATTTAAGTGCGCTGCAGATATTATACACAGAGGCTAGAAGAGAGGATCAGATCCTCTAGAATGACAGAGCTACTTAGTTGTTAGCTGTCAAGTGGGTGCTGGGAACCAAACCTGGGTCCTTTACAAGAGCAGCCAGTGCTCTTAACCACTGATCTACCTCTTCAGATCCAAGTTACTGAGATTTTAAAAGCTTGTTGAGCACTGTAGCTTCAAGGCTGATAGCCAAAGGCAAAGGAATTGTTCAGGCTATAGTCAGTCACACAGTGGCTCTGTGACAGAAACAGTGCTGGCCCTCCCCTGTTGTGAAGGTGTCTACACACCAGAAAGGGTTGGAGTGGTTCTCAAAACCACCAAAAAATTATTTTAAGCTTCAACAGCATTCTAACTTGAACTATTAAAACTCCCCAAGGGTCTTAAGAATGGCATGCAGATATCTACCAAGTAGTCATGTCAGCCCTGAAAACCACGTACTAAAGTCAAATTTTTTGAAATGGGATTCAAACCTGGTTAACAACACAATAGAAGAAGTCAAGCAACAAGCTACACTACTAAGCTTGAGTCTTCTTGAAATGTCATATAATGTCAAGAAAATCAAGACAGCATCAAAGCCACAGTATGTGACATGGTAATAAGTGCTTGCATTCCAGGAACACATCCCCAGGGTGCATCTTGTTCCAAAAGACATATTAATTCCAATGGGAAAATTTTAATCTTAAATTATGCTATTTTTTTTGGAAATCTTTTCCAAAACCACATTCTTTGAATCCTCTGTCTGGTCATTATGCAGAAGGCAACAAGATGCAATGTGTACACAGTTTTGAGCCAAAGGAACCTCACTTTATTAGCAAAATAAGACCAATTGTTATAAAATAATGTGGCAGCATAGAAAAGCACCTCATTAAGAATTCAACAAAGGGAAACACTGAAGCAGGCTAGGGCTGAGACCAAATATCTCACAGAGGATGAGGTCTGCAATGAGAGCCAGTAACAAGGGAAAGGGATGCCAAGCTGGACAGGCAGTGGACCAGCCAAGACCTGGACCAGCCAAGACCTAGAACTCTGGATGGGAAGTATCATCAGGAGGCAGGAGGGAGGATTCACAATGACTGGCCACCAAGTTCAAAAGCAGTGAGTCAGGGAGATAAAAGAGAAACCAGGTACAGAAGAGGCAGGAAAAGTGAGCAACATGGCAGGTAGCTGGCCATGCGGACTTCAGAACTGGGCTTCTGGGGCTCAAATCCCAGCTCCAAGCAAAGCCCTTTGTCTTCTCTGGGTATATAAACATTTTATTAGTGAGGGTGGTTTCTCTGTAGGTTAGAGAGATAAAATGTATTTAATATATAGAAAACATTTAGAACACAACCCAAATGAAAGGGTAATTAAGTAAAACTTTCCCTTCATTTTATTTTTATTTTATGTGTTTGAGTGTATTGCCTGGATGTATGTGAGTGTACCCGTGTCGTGCAATGCCACAGAGGTCAGAAGAGGGCTTTGAATTCCCCTGGAAAAGGAGTTAAGGATGGTCGTAGCTGCCATTTGGTTGCTGGGAATCAAACCTGGGTTCTCTGCAAGAGCAGTCAGTGCTCTTAACCACTGAGCCATCTCTCCAGCCCCTTAAATAAAACTTTCTAAAAGAAGTAATCTTACAAGACAATAAGACATGTTTTGTTTTGTTTTGTTTTGGGGGGAGGGGGTTGAGGCAGGGTCTCCTTGTAGCCTCATCTGGCCTGGAACTCGCTATGTAGACCAGATTGGTCTCAAACTTAGAGATCTGCCTGTCTCTGCCTCCTGAGTAATGTCTGAGACATGGCTTTTTTAAAAAAACTACATTTATTTGGTGTGTGTCTGTGTCTATGTGCATGCACATATACACATGCCACAGCCTGTATGTGTAGGGTAAAATATCAGAGGGCAACTTTTGGGGTGTTGGTTTTCTTTTTCCCCCATGTGAATCCTTGGCACCATGCACCTCTACCAGTTGAGCCAGCTCGCTGGCCTGGGGTACAGCTTTTGATTCATCCTGACCACCCTTGTGGTACCAGGTATAACAAGGAATTAATGTTCCATCTTTTTACCTTTTACCACAAAAATCAGCTGAGGCTTTATTTTTTCTAATCACATTTTTTTTCAATGCTAGAGATCAGAGGGCCTTGTGTAAATTAAGCAAGTGTTCTATCACCAAACTACAAAAATCAAACTCTTTTTATACATGGCTGCCGTAATGGTAGTTACAGTATCCTGAAAAAAAACAAAAAAAAAAACCAACCAACTGTTGGGCCAATGAGAAGGCTCAGCAGGTAGAGGCACCTGCCACCAAGTCTGATGACTTGAGTTTGATCCCTGGGGCCCTTACAGTGGAAGAACAGAACCAACTCCAAGTTGTCCTCTGATGTCTACACATATGCTGTGGGACCTGCATGCATGTTCTCATTCTCTCTCATTCTCTCTCTCTCTCTCTGTATATATATATAGTCAGGTATGGTGGCACAAATCTTTAATCAGGCAGATCTCTGTGAGTACAAGGCCAGCCTAGTATACATATTGAGTTCCAGGCCAGCCAGGATTACACAGTGAGATCCCCATATCAAAATAGTAATAAATTTCTTTTTCTTTTTTTTTTTTTGGTCTTTTTGAGACAGGGTCTCCCTGTAGCCCCAGGTGTCCTGGAACTCACTGTGTAGACCAGGCTGGCCTTGAACTCACAGAGATCCGCCTGCCTCTGCCTCCCAAGTGCTGGGATTAAAGGCGTGCACCACCACACCCAGCAATACATTTCTTTTTAAATCAGCTCTCACCTGGCATGGTTGTGCACCCAGGTGGCAGAGGCAGAGGCAGGATGACTGACACAAGTTTGAGGCCACTCAACTACATACTTAGGTTCCAGACTGGCTCCAGGACAATCAGCACTACAGAGTGAGACCTTTTTTCAAAAAAATAAAGAATAGGCCAGGCGTGGTGGCACATGCCTTTAATCCCAGCACTCGGGAGGCAGAGACAGGCAGATAGATCTCTGTGAGTTCAAGGCCAGCCTGGTCTACACAGTGAGTTCCAGGACAGCTGGGGCTACAGGGAGACCAAAAAAGAAATAAATAAATAAATAAATAAATAAATAAATAAATAAATAAATAAATAATCGGTCAGTCAGTCAGTCAGTCAGTCATCAGGTCTGTTCCAGAACAAAGCAGATACAGGTGTCTCTAGTTAGGCTAACTGCCTGGACCTGGCCTTAATTTTTTTTTTTTTTTTTGTTTGTCTTAAGACAGGATCTTGCTGCACAGATCAGGCTGACCTTAAATTTGCAGTAATTTGCCTTCCTCTCTCCCGGGTGCTGGAATTACAGGCATGTGCCACCATGCCTAACAAATCATCTTTAAACCCCTGTGCTGAAGATTAAATTCAGCACGTGCTAGGAAAGCACTCTACTACTGAGCCTCAGCCTTCTAAATCCTCTTTTTCATTTATTTTAATTTTTTAAATTCATTTTTATTTTATATGCATGAGTGTTTTGCCTGCATGTATGTAAAAGTGTAAACCCGTGGAGGCCAGAAGAAGGCATCAGATCCCCTTGAACTAGTGTTATAGACAGTTTTAACAGCTATATGGGTGCTAGGAATTGAACTTGGGTCTTTTAGAACAGCAGCCAGTGTTAACTGCTGAGCCATCTCTCCAGTTCCTTTGTTTGTTGTTTTTTTGAGACGGGGTCTCCAAACTCTATGTAGACCAGGCTGGCTGGCCTCAAACTCACAGTGATCTGCTCACCTCTGTTTCCCAAATGCCACCAAGCTCTATTTTAAGAGTACATTTCTGGGGACTAGAGAGATGGCTCACCGATTAAGAACACTAGATGTTCTTGCAGAAGACCCGGGTTCAAATCTCAGCACCCACATGGCAGCTAACAACTGTCTGTAACTCCAGTTCCAGGGGATCGAACAGCCTCTTCTGTCCTCCTCGGGCATTGCATGACACAGGTGCACTTACCTACGTGCAGGCAATACACGCATATACATAAAATAAAAATTTTAAATTTTAAAAATTTTTTTAAAAAGTACATTTCTGAGGTGGCATGGTGGCTCATGTCCATAATCCCAGCATTTGTGAGGCTAAGGCAGGAGGACAGGCACCAAATTTGAGGCCAACTTGGGCTACCTGATGAGTTCTAGGGCAGCCTGGGCTACATAGTGAGACCCTGTGTCTTCCCCCCTCTCTTAATGTCAATTTTCTTCTTGCCCTACTTGCTTCATACCAGTATCTGCATGTTTGTGAACACATCAGTGCAGAAATCAATGAAAGTGGGAGAAATGACTCACAGGAGCCTGACAGGAAAAAACATACTCACCCCGGGTCCTGAAGAAGAAAGGGTGGTAATTGCTCTCATTTTTAATGGAAGGGAAAGGAACAATCTTTACAAAGTAATCCGTTTCAAATTTCATATTCAGGAAAGGCTGAGATTCCATTCCCTAAAAGGGAACAAAGACACATGTGGCATCATGAGGAACTTCCCACCACCCCTACACAAGCAGGACCTGAGCTCTAGCTGACTGCCACTCACATAATCCTAGAGCTGGGCCAGATCCAGGAAAGCCCAAAGCCAGGGCTGCAAACTTAGATTTGGACTCCTAAAGCTGAAGATGGACAAGGCTGTCTATTAGTCCTGAGCCCCAAAGCTGGTGGGGAGAGAGGGTGAGCCCACAAAACTCTTCAGAGCACAGATACCTTCGAGATGGCTGCTCCAGTGTAACCTGAGAGGTATGTTTACCACAGAGGTGCTGAAGAGCTTTCTTGAGAGTGTGGGGCAAGCTCAGCTGCTGCCTCCCACTCTTGCCCACCTTGGCTGAACTGGGTGGACCCCACCACCCCCCTTCTCCAATTTCAGACTTTCAATAGCCTATTCAGACCCCTGGAACAATGGTGCTGTCTTCAGAGGCACATTCCCTCAGTGTGACTTACCGTTCTTTTGAGGCTACTGTCGAGCTGCTTCGGGTCCTTTAGAATCAGTTGCTGGCACTGTCTTCCCTCGGACTTCAGCTCCTCCAGTATTACTCGAAATCCTTTGAGGAATTCAATGCCTAAGCACAGCAGAGGCTTTTATGAAAAGCAGACCTAATTACTTCTGAACACACTTTTCTTCCTCCAGGGTCACCATTCTCCCCACTGACACACCAGAGCTAAAGGACTTCTTATCCTGCCCAGGACATCTGAGTCCACAGAACGGAAGAGTTCACATCCTGCAGTCCTCTACAGGCCAGGTGATGTTCTCCATCTCAGTACTACTAATATAATTATTTGACAAGTATCTATTGCTTCTGTGACACCTAGGTCCAAATATTTAGGCTGAATTCTCAATTGATCATAAAAATCTGTAGTGGAATAAATAATTTATAGGTTACTAAACAGGTGCATTGCACTGATGACAAATTCCCAATAGCGACTAGGAGATACCTCTAAACTGTTTCCACTTCAAGTTTTAGCTACATACTCTTTTGTCATATTTCATTGAGCAACTTACAAAAATTCCCAATGAAATGTGTGTCTGTACCCAAGGGGTTCCTAAGCTTGAGATTAAATAGCTGATGTGGTTTACAAAGCAGGTCTTGCTTTAATCACGTCTGAAAGGCCGATATCCGAGAGCTGCCCAGTGTGTGCTCTGCATACAGCTCTCAGAGGCCCCAAGACGCCCACAGCGCTACTGAAAGGCGCTGGCCCAGCCTCTGGCCACCTGAGCTTCCTCCACTGCACATCTGACTAGATGCTTTCAAAGGGATTAAGCTCTGATAGCCACAAGAGCCAGCACAGGGCTCTGTAACCCATGGAGACTGGAATGGTCCAAGTGCAGCTGGAGATCCGCAAAGCCTGCCTCAATTGGTGAGATATCGATTTCACATTCTTTCTAAATACTAGACAAGGAGATGTTTTCAACCCTTCCCTTCCCAGGGCAAAAGTAATTACACAGGATGCAATTAACCAGGTGGGAAAATCATTGATGGCAAAAGCCACAGAAATATTTTTTTCTTTCAAATAGGTCCTCCAATCCTGTAATTACTTGATGGAGAGCACATATTTCATGGTGGGGAGGGCAGAGGAGCCCCATATTTTAGGAGTATGGAGTTCTACAGTGCATTGCATTTTCAAATCACAAAGCTGCCTGTGGGGTGACAGCCAGTGGATCCACAGCCAGAGATTCAGCGGTGACAACATGGTACAAGGTCTCTCTCTGAATCACTATTTAGTAGATCGCACAGGAACTTGCCTTGAGACTGAAAAGGAAAAAACTTTTGAACAGATCCTTATATTAAGATTTGATTTTAAAAGTGTTTCCATTAGCCAGATGTGATGGTACATGCCTTTAAGTCCAACACTCAGGAGGCAGAGGCAGGCAGATCCAGAGGCCAGCCTGGTCTACATAGTGGGTTCCAGGCCAGTTGGGGCAATAGGGAGCCCTGTCTCAAAAAGAAAAAAACAAAAGTGTTTCCAGAACTATTGTTTAACAAAAGCCATGTCATTAAAGGCCACGTATCTCACATGCATCTCATCTGGGATAAGCATGGGGAGACCTAACCTTGTTTTGCAAAGGCCAGACTGAAAATCTTTATGTCAAATCTGGGGCTGACAGTAGAGAGAGGGAGCAGATGTAATTGCTGTGTCACAGAGCACGTTTATCCCGATCTACTAACACTGTGAGGTCGTATATAAATGACTGGCAATCTGACAGAACACCCTTACCTAAAGAGCATGCTTACTCTCTCCCTCTTACAGTTAAACTCATTAACTCCTCCTAACAAGCTTAGGAGGAAGGTATTATTATTCCCATTTACAGATGACGAAACCTGGGTTTAGAGAAACTGACTTGCCCCAGGGTCACAGGGAAGACATGGGATTTAAACCCTGGAAGCACTGGGCTCTTAGCCAAGTGCCCTTAATCCATGTGCTTTCCTGACTTTCAAGTTTACTTGGTAGAACCAAACTGATAGAACCTGCCATCTCCTCATCCATAAATCATCTTCCAGGGAAAGCACAGCCCTCTGCCCTCCCTACTCCTTCCATTAATTTTTCTACTACCAGCTCACAATTTTCTTTCTAAAGGAGCCTGCAGTTCGTCAGATCAAGGCTTAGCCATTTAAGCCTTAAATGGAATGACCACTTCCCTTTTATCCAGAGAATGTTTTCAATCTTTAAATGTTAAGATAATATTATCTTTGGAAAACACATAGGGTTTAGATACAAAAGTATTTATGTGACAGTGAGTGAGGTCCATGACCTGCTCTATCTTCCCTCTCCTTTATATTCACTACTGTGATCTGGTTCTGAGATTTGTCCTGTCCAGATTAAAAAATCCACACTTTAGTTGACTTCTCTCTAGCCACATTTTGGAAGATACCAAGAAAAGAGTGGCAACATCAGAGGGACAGGGCTGAGACCCAGTTTCTGGTAATAGCTGCAATCCTCTGACCAGTTCTTTCTGGTACCAACCACAAGGTAACTATCACCACTACTTGGCAGACAGGGAAGATAAGGCCCCAACAGTCATAAATGCCTCAGGTGAAAGGTCAATCACAACTGAGCATGGTGGTATGTACATATGGTCCCAGCACTTGGAAAACTGAGGCAAGAAGGCAAGTACATGGCCAGCATGGGCTATGCACATAGAAAGACCACATCAAAAAAAAAAAAAAGGAGGAACTGCTAGGTGAGATCATGTATGCCTATAATCTCAGTAATTTGGAGCTGGAAACAGGAGGGTCAAGAGTTCAGGGCCATCCTGGGCTACATAGTGAATTTGAGGCCAGCCTGGGTTACACTGAGACCTTGTCTCAGAAAAAAATAAATAAAATTGTCAAGCAAATTCACTGGAAGAATGAAGTTAGGGAAGCTTGGGTACCCCTGGCCTGACTCTCTTACCCTCTCCTAGGTGTCATCAGCTCTTTCAAGAAGACAGACTCAGTTAACAGTCTGGCCAGATCTAAGTTGCTTTCTTTCACTCCGGGTTTTGTTGGCTCACAAAGTCTAAAAAAGTTTTCAACTATTTGGCAACTTTAAAAACTCAATGATTTCATACTTTCTCATAAAACCCAGGATTTTCCTGAAAAATTACAAAGTGTGCCAAAGCCAGGCTCACATGTCCTTGTGACCACAGAGACCACAAAAGCTGGAGGCCAAAGCCACTATGCCCTTGATAGGCCACAGGCTCTCCTGGTACTACTACCTACCTACCTCTGACTAATGCTGAGACTTCAAGGCCAAGGCTCAGCCTGGACTACAGAGTAAAACCCTGTCTAAAAATAAAAAAGCTAGACAGTGAGTTCCAGGCCAGCTGGGGCTACAGGGAGACCCTGTCTTAAAAAGACCAAAAAATAGCCGGGCATGGTGGCACACGCCTTTAATCCCAGCACTCGGAAGGCAGAGGCAGGCAGATCTCTGTGAGTTCAAGGCCAGCCTGGTCTACGCAGTGAGTTCCAGGACAGCTGGAGCTACAGGGAGACCCTGTCTCAAAAAGACAAAAAAAAAAAAAAAAAAAAAAAGACCAAAAAATAAAAATAAGACATAGGGACTGAAGAGATGGTTCAGTGGTTAAGAGCACTGGCTGCTCTTGCAGAGGATCCAGGTTTGGTTCCCAGCACCCACGTGGCAGCTAACAACTGTCCATAACTCCAGATCCAGGGGATCCAACACTCTCCTCTGACCTCCATGGGTACTGTACAACACAGGTGCACTTACACACATGCAGGCAATACATTCATACTCAGAATAAAATAAAAGATGGACCACAGAATGTGGATGTGCCCAGCAGAAAGGCCACAAGAGCGGATGTGCTGTGCCCCCTCCACCCTCAGCTTCACTGCCAAGACTTGCCTGAGCAGAGGCCATAACACATGGTCATGCACATCGGCACCATCTACCCAGCTCACCTCGGTGTTACCACTTACCAAGGCCCCCTGGAGACCACAGAATGGTGACTGCCACTTGGTCATGGCATGAGTACTGGCTGACTGTGATGTTCTGGGCATCAGAAATCACATGTTTCCCCACTGGATTCAAGTAGGTGGTACAGTCTAGAAAGTTGGGAAAAGGAGCAGTTAAATTTTTAATCTTTATTTTCAATTTCATCTTACCAGACCCTGTAGAATATGTCTGCAGACAGTCAAATCCATTCTGTTTGAAAATATGCTGCTCAGGGGCTGGAGAGGTGGCTCAGTGGTTAAGAACACTGGTTGTTCTTGCAGAAGACCTGGGTTCAAATCCCAGCACCTACATGGCAGCTAACAACTGTCTGTAACTTCAGTTCCAGGGGATCCAACAGCCTCTTCTGACCTCCTTGGGCATTGCATGACACGGGTGCACTTACCGACGTGCAGGTAATACACACATACACATAAAATAAAAATAATAAATAAAATTTTAAAAAATATATGTAGCTCAAAAGCCCAAACACAATACTAAAATTCATTACAGTTTGGAAAACCCAAAGATGCTACAGAGGGATTTATCTACTGCAGTACTACTCTCCTGAATTAAGCAACTAGACAATCCAGGAGACCTGGACATAGTGTAGACTTGTGTATCTGGCATTACCTATTTTGAGTTTTTATTGTTATTACTGTTGTTTTTATTCTTAGGACATTTAACCTAAATCAACAAATACTTACATCAATTCTAGCATTTTCTAGCATTAGAGTGCTGTAAAGGAACACATTGTTGGGCTGGGCGTGGTGGCGCACGCCTTTAATCCCAGCACTTGGGAGGCAGAGGCAGGCAGATCTCTGTGAGTTCAAGGCCAGCCTGGTCTACATAGTGAGTTCCAGGACAGCTGGGGCTACAGGGAGACCCTGTCTCAAAAAGACAAAATTAAAAAAAAAAAAAAATAGAACACATTGTTAACTAATTTGGGGCTTTTTTGTTTTTAGAAGAAACCAAGAAGGCAAGGTGACTATGGAAAAGGAACTAACGTGCAGATGTGACTTCTTCACAGAAAAACTGTTAAATATCTCAGTATCAGCACAGAGCACTGAGAGATTGGGTGATAAGGATGATGGTTAGTATCCTCAAAGACAAAACAGTTTCTCAAAGATAGCCAGAATCCCCACTAAGTCTCCAAAGTCCCATATTAATGACTCAACACAAACCACCTTTGATTTTATCTGAAGACATCTTATGAGCTGAATACACCTTCAAAATCTGTCTCCTAAAAAAAACTTCCAGAAGCTTTCAGCCAGAATCCCACTGGAACTTCAGCGACTTGCCACACACTGTGGTAGATGCCCTTGCTGGGAGAGGCACCAGCCAGGCCAGCAGACATAACTCACTATTCTCACATTGCTTTATCTTCCTTTCTTTCTCATGAGTCAACTTAGATAGCCTCTTCCCTATCTACTGCAAAGGCCCTTCACAATTGAAGGTCCAAACCCCACTGAGGGAAGAGGCATTTCTAAGGAGCTCAGTAAGTCTACTGCATTTTTTTCCCTTGTTAGCTATAATGTACATTCCCCATTATTGTAGGTAAAATGCTTACTGGAGGTATTTGAAAACAGAAAGAAACAGAAAGACAATGTAAAAGTCATCCATACTCTCTCATCACACACAGGTAACTGCTGTTAAGATTCTAAGGGATCAGGGCTGGAGAGATGGCTCAGCAGTTAAGAGCACTAGCTGTTCTTCCAGAGAACCCAGGTTCAATCCTCAGTACCCACATGGTGGCTAACAACCATCCATAACTCCATTTCCAGGCAATATATACTTATCAAGGTCTAAAAAGATGCATGAACAAGAACAAAGAATTTTCTCTTTCCTCATTCCTAATGCCAAAGCTGACACTCCTGAGGTTTCCGTCAACACAATTATGCAAACAGACAAAAGTCTAAGAATTAAGAAAATGCATTAAAACCCTCAGAGCCTCAAGAACTGTGGAATGTAGGGTCAAAGGAGGCTGGAAGGAGGCTGAAATCAGCTATGACTTAATGGCAAACACTCTATTATATCAAAGGACAAAGGATAGAAAAATAAGATTTTTATCTTAGTAATTTTTGTGAAAACTTGGTAACTGGCTATTTTAAACAGAACTACTAATCAGCCAACTGAACAATAACAAGAACCTCCCTATAGAAAACAAAAATCTTTTTTGATGGAAAACACAGAACACTTTTTTAAAAAAAATTTTTATTTATTAATTTTATGTGTATGTGTATATTGCCTGCATGTAGGTAAGTGCACCCCTATCATGCAATGCCTGCAGAGGACAGAAGAGGCTGCCGGATCCACTGGAACTGGAGTTACAGACAGTTGTTACCTGCCATGTGGGTGCTGGGATCCAAACTCGGGTCTTCAGCAAGAACAGCCAGTGTTCTTCACTGCTGAGCCATCCCTCCAGCCCCAGAACACTTTTTTTTACAAAGCCTGCATCAAATTATTAGCAGACCTAATGTTTAGGATTCAAGCTACAAAATACTTTATGCCCAAATGACATTTTCCAAAAAGCACTGAGCTTTAAACGTCTCAGGAGCCAATGCAAGCTATGAATTAAATTCTAAATAAATGATGAAGAATTAAGAGGAAAGTAATGTCTAAGAGACAGACACAAGGACACAGGCAAAAATTTAAAACAAAGAAGACAAAAAAATCCAGGTGTGGTGGTACTTGCTTATCATATCAATATTTGGGAGGCTGAGGCAGGAAGATCACAAGTTCAAAAGTAGCCTGATTGATATGAGATCTTGTCTCAAAAACAAAAAGACAACCCTAAGATATTTTTAGGTTTTGCAGGTATAGATTCTTTTTCATAAAATTTATATTAAATTATAGAGGCAAATGCTTGTTTTCAGATGACTCTTTAATGTAATACAAGATCTGCCAGGACCAAGAATATGCATTAGAAATATAGTTTTTAACTCAAAGAACAATCCTTTACACATCCTTGCTTAGCTGAATCAAGTATCACAGACTTGCAAACCCTTCCTTACCATCAAGATGGCATTTATCCAAAACACAGACACAGCACTGACATGAAGTGCCCGAATGTCACATGTTAGTTCTCACTGGTTAACTCAAAGTACCCAGGCCAGCAGCTGTGGATGTGAATTTGACACATGTTTATATCATAAAATTGTCAGATTGTATCCATGACCTCAAAAACCCTAACCTGGTCAGAGTATGGATGACTTTCACACTGATGACCCCAGAGGCCTCCATATGATGCTAAGGCCTCATAACCTTCTCTAAGAGATGAATCAGAAGTCATGAGCCAACAAACATGAGGCTTGCTCCCTCTTATCATGCTTACATACAAAGTAGAGCTCATAAGGCTAAAATGCTCATAGTTCTACATAAGTACCTTCTTAAGAATGAAAATAGCTCCTTAGAAGGGATCATACATGCCTCATCAGAAAAATCAGCTTTGTCCTTAGAAAACAATTCAGTCAGAAAAAAAGTCACACTTTGCCCCCCGCCCAAAATGGTGCTTGTATTGAACCCCAGTTGGACTGACTTCTAATATTAGCAGACAGCATTTACTGGGCCTCCACTGCAGGCCAGCTACCGAGGTGAGGTAGTATGTGCATTACCTCAGTATGTGCATTACCTCGGTTAAGCCTCCAAGAGATGCTTGGAGAAAGAAACAATGGAAGCAGGGAGAAGTTAAGTCACACAAACAGAAGAGAAACTGAAGAATACCCCTATACCCAAGTCCAAGATGGCCAACTGGAGAGCCCTCAGCCACCCTGAGACACAGAGTCACTAGATTTTTCTCTATTGGGAAAAAAACATTAAAATAAATATCAGTATTTTTAAGTGTTTGTTGGAGGGGCAATTTTCTGGGTATTTTTAAAAGCCACATCTGGCTATACCCAGTGGGAGTTCCTTAAGACCACAATGAGCTGGAATCAGGAAGCCAGTGCCCCCTTCAGATCAGACACAGGTCTCCAGCCTTGTCTAGGGCCTGCCTGCACCTGGGTAGCTTTGCTCCTTCTTTCCCCAGTGGACCCTGCTGGCAGCTGTGTTTGCTCTTAAGGACATGGCTGTGTCCTGAGGGAAGATCTTCACACATAACTTTTCTGAAAGGTATGGAAGACACTTAACCTGTTTAAGCTTCCGAGTACTTCAGTGGCTTAATAGAGACTAAGTTGTTTTAACTAAAACCTGAACAGGTTCAGAAAATTCTTTGACCCAGGGATCTGCAGTGACCTTGATCAAGTACAAGTGTATAACTTACAGATTGCTGAAAGGGCTCCATTCTCTGTAGTCAAGCCAGTTACTTACTGTCATATCTGAAGGTGATATTGTGCAGTCCACTGCTTCTGCTGGCCAGCCCCACTCCCTGTGGGAAAACAAGAGAAGATGATACCAATTTACTTTTCCAGCATGGATCTCCACAATGTCAAAAGGCATGCAGCAGTACAGGTGCCCAGGGTCATGCCAGTCACTTCACATCAGCCTTGAACCTATTTCATGACTCCCTAACAGTCAAACACCATCCAATCCATGAGATTACTACCCACCAGGCCACAGGGAACTTGCGACACTCTTTGCCCTAAGACAATAGGAGCAGGCTGGTCTATATTTGGGGGTTAAACAATTCATTAGCAGTAAAATTGGGAGAGAGACCAGGGCTGCTAGCTGGAGCCCTTCCAGTTTGGATCCACTTTGAGTACTGACTGGTTATAAAATTCACCTACCAGACAACCTCTTCTGAAAGCTCTAGTAAAGCAAGACAGATAGGCAATTCCTCAAGTCTACTGAAACCAGTTCTCATTCCAAGCCTGGGAATGAGTGTGGGAATAAGCAGTTACTTTTAATGAGAACATTCTTCACTGCCTCCATACCTATGCTTAGAATAGAGAGGGTGGGCCATAAAAGAAAAGAGACTTTAAAAGGTCTAACTCTTAACTCTTGGTGATGTGGCCATTAGCCATCTGTGCTCTTAATAGCAGTGTAACAACTCCGCCAGACTTCCCACTTTAATTACAACAGCCACAGAAGGAGGACCGGATCCTCTCAACCACCCCATCTTTTCCTAACTCCCAGCTTGTCTCTCCCAAGAAAGGGCTGCTGCAGGTCTACCGACTCTGTTAGCTGTTTTTCTGATAATCTGCAAATGTGCCATTCGATATTAATTGCAGAATTCTCCAAAATATGTTAATTTTCAAGTGCAAAATGATGGGAAAATATTCTAACCATACAGCTAAAGTTTCCAATTAACAGTGAGGATGTTGGGGAAAACCATATCCTGGTGTTTAATGGGCAATTGTTACACTGAGACACAATGTGGAGAATGCTTCAGACGGGGCCCAAGGTTTCAGGCCACAACCCCATCACTTCCACATGCTAGAGGCATATTCATACTGCTAATCCTGAGGCCTGGTGCACCCACTGAAACCATGTCCTTGAGCTTAGATATACTTGGGGCTTGGAAAAGCACAGCTGTGCAAAAAGAGGCAGACACACACACACACACACACACACACACACTCTCCAAAGTGACACACACACACACACACACACACACACACACACACACACACACGCTCTCCAAAGTAAAGAATAAGCAAGCAATAACACAAAACCTAAATCAACCAGGTACCTGTCAATGCCCTTGAACTGCTAGGGCTCTCCCCTTCTTCCTCGTTCACCTCTTTCTCCAGCTTCCTTCTCCCACCCTCTGAATACTGTAAGACTCCAGAACTCATCACCTGATATGAAACTTTGGAAAGTGAAAATTACAAGCACTCCTCATCCCTTAGGCATAAATTCTGTGCAATCAGAGGCTGCATAGCTTCCAGATGGCAGAGATCCAAGTAACAACCAGGAAGGGGACAACTCAATTCTCACAACCCTTTGGGTATGTTCAAAACAGTCACCATACTGCCTTACAGGACATAAACTCAGCCCAGGACATAAACTCACCTTTCATGATGAGCCAGACAATCTGGGTATGGTAGTACACAAAACAGTCATGACCTCACCTCAAGGAGTTGCATGGTGCTCGTCCATTCAGAAAAGAGTAACGAGACACAGACAAACCTCAAATCACACCCTGGCCCTCAAAGTCATCCCCACTTAGATGACACACAAGGTATATGTGGCAAAGGTGAAAGAACCAGCCGCAGAGAAGCATAGGACACATGAACTGCCACAGGGCAATATCTCAACAAGGATGAATGAAGGGGAAGGATGACATACACACACAAAGCTTAAGATAGGAAAGGAGAATGCCTGGGCTATACAACAGAAGAAAACAGCAGCAGTATGGGAAGTACACTGTCAGTTGGCAGCCAAGGAAAACCACTCCACACCACTGGGGTTGAGTCTCCTCAACTAGCTGAGGTTTTGATTGTTCTGTTTCGTTTGTTGTGAAGAATTTACACAACAGCTTTCTTCTGAGAGGGAGTTTGAGGAAGACAGTGAAGTCATGGAGAAGAGGCACTTTTCAAAAAGGAAACATATTCTATTTAATAACAGGTACCAAGGTATATTGTTTGTAAAACTTGTGTGGCCTTTCCTTTGTTCCTATTTTAGTGCCTCTTTTGTTTGTTTTCCCTACATTTCTATTGAGTGATGTCTGTAACAAACATATCTTGAGCATTTGCAATGGCTAATAGCAATAACACAATGCCTTGTGGAAAAGAGCCCAAGACAATGAGACATGCTGTGCTAGAACCGAAATCCCTCCAAACAAGGGCTCTGATTAATGGAGAACTGTCAGAGGGAGCCCAGGTAAGCTGGCTTTGAAGATGCAGAGGCTTGATCAAGTGATCAGGTGATCAAGTGATCAACACTACACATTGATGATCCCAGTCTGTCCTAAGCCCCATAGGACTGGTTTTTGGTTTTTTGGGTTTTTTAAAAAATATTTTACTGCGTGTATTGCCTGCATGTAGGTAAGTGCACCTGTGTCCTGCAGTGCCCACAGAGAACAGAAGAGACTGTCGGATTCCCTGGAACTGGAGTTACAGACAGGTCTTAGCTGCCATGTGGGTGCTTGTTTTCGAACCCGGGTCTTCTGCAAAGAATAGTCAGTGTTCTTAACCACTGAGTCATCTCTCCAACCCCAGGACTGATTATTTAACTACAAATAAGATTTAGACCCTGACTCAAGGGGCTCTGTCCATGAAGGTGAGCTATAAACATGCCCATCATCTACCCTCACTGCTCCCCTGCTCCCAGCCCTTCACTGGCTCCTTACTCCTCTATACCATTCTTAATGTAGGACCCGCCTGCCTAGCTCCTTCCTCAGCCTGCAAACCCCTCACACACTGCAATTTCATTCAGGCTTTCCTGCATTTCCAGAATCCCCTTCTCTCTTCACATTTTCCATGAATCCCTCCCCATCACCCAGGTCTTGCTCTCCCTCCCCATGGGCTGCCTGTCATAGTCTGGTCTCAACATGTTAAATCTGTGACACATCAGTCTGCCTGGATACTCACTATAGAGGAGCAAAATAATTGTCGCCTTACAGTTCCAAAGTGTGGCACTTCTGTAGATGCGAATATGAAATGGAGATTCTAATTCTACAGAAAATCAGAGACTCTAAGGCCTTAGACCTACCCAAGCCTGGCTATGGAGCTCAGAAACAAGACTCCCACCCCACCCCCCGTACCAGTTCTCATGTGTACTTTAAAAACCTTTCACTACTGAAGTCCTTGAATGCACAGTCTCTTAGCATTTGCACAGCGGATACTCCACTAGGCAATCCCCACTCACACCCAAAAATGTTTCAGCTGCTCCAGAGCCCAGAGAAACCACCTTAGAAATGCTGCGTCCAGCCTGGCCTACAACGCTGATGTTCCCTTGTTACTTCATGGCAGACAAAACTGACAGCCAGTCAAACATGCCCACAGCCTAGCCTTCTAGAACCTGTGACTTATTTTATGCATAGCAAAAGGAACTATGCAAATGTGATTAAGTTTAAGAATGCTGAAACAGGAAGAGTATTCTGGGTTGTCCAGCTAGGCCAGTGTAAGGGTTCTTAGAAGAGAGACACTGAAGAATCAGTAGCACAGAAAAGGAATTATGAAAGTTGAGGACAAAAGAAAGGAAGAGAGCAGGAAACTGAATGGCTGCAGAATGCTACACATGCGGGATCTGAGGAAGAGTAGGCAGGGGCTACCAAGCCAAAACGTGTGCAGCCTCTAGAGGCTGGACCAGGCAAGGATGGTTTCTCCCCTACAGCATCTAGAAGGAGCCAGCCCTGCCAGCACCTTGATTTCAGTAGCTAAAGACTCATTTTGGAGTTCTGACCACCAGAACTATAGGATAAGAAGTTTGTGCTCTCTTACACCACTAAGTTCAAGGGTTTTGTTTTGATTTTTATTTTATGTGTATGCGTGTATTGCCTCCATGTAGGTAAGTGCACCCGTGTCGTGAAATGCCCAAGGAGGTCAGAAGAGGCTGTTGGATCCCCTGGGACTGGAGTTACGGACAGTTGTTAGCAGCCATGTGAGTGCTGGGATTCAAACTCAGGTCTTCTGCAAGAACAACCAGTGTTCTTGACCACTGAGCCATCTCTCCAGCCCCTGTTTTGAGGTTTTTTTTGAGACAGGGTCTCACTATGTAGCCCTGGCTGGCCTGGAACTTGCTATGTAGACCAGGCTGGCCATGAACTCATAAAGATCTGCCTGTCTCTGCTTCCCAGGTGCTGTAACTAAGGGCATGCACCACCATGCCCAGCAAGGTTATTTTTTTATAGCAACTTTTGAAAGCTAATTCCATGCATCAATTTCAACCTGTGACATAGAAGAGCTGGGTCTCAATGTCTCACACACAGCATGTGCCTGTGCTGTCTCTAGCTCTTCCCCTCCTGTACCCACCACTAATCACAGTCACACTCTCTCACCCCACTTCAGACAGACAGGAAACACTGATCTGTTAGAGCTGTGCCTTAGGATCCTGCCATCCTGGAGATGGACTTGACTTCTGCGGGCTGAACTGGAGCTTATGTGGAGTTAAGAGAATGGGGCTTTAGCTTCCATAGATAGATGTGCCCATCTTCCCACTGTGTGACCTTAGGCAAGTTTCTGAACTTCCCTGAGCCTCATTTCCCTAAGCTACAGAACATGTGAATAAAACTTTCTGGAAAGAACTAGCATGGGACTACATGTAACAAGTGTTCAGCACAGTATCCGGCACACAGTAGCTCAGAAATGTCAATGCCAGGATTCCCACCTTAAGAAACAGAACAGAGCTGAGCTACAGACAGGCAACAAAAGATGTATGAGACAGGAAGCTGAGGCTGGTCTTGGGCTCAAATCCGCCTGCCTCTGCCTCCCTAGTGTTGGGGCTACAGACGTGGGGGGCCAGGCTAGGTGTGCTGTTAAAAAA